TTATTTATTTTGTAGACATAATTTTTTAAAATTAGTATTACATTAATTATAGTAAAAAAATAAAAATATTATTTTAATTATAAGAATAATTAAAAGTAGCGAAAATATAATCTTATTTTTTTAGTTTAATAAAAAATAATTATGTAATAATAAAATTGAGATATTGTAAAAAAATTATTTTTGAAATAGTTATTTTATACCAAAATAAAAATATTTATATTTTTTTAGTAGACAGAAAAAAAAAAAAAATATTTTGGGAGTTGCAGCGATTGTGCGCCTTTGGTCTGGGTTGTACGCCATGAAACTTGCTTATGTTTGGTTGGATTTTTTATTTAAAATTTAAATAGTAAAAATTTTAAAATAGTAAAATATAATACAATTGATATGATATTTTAAAAATAAAATATTTTTAAAATATATTATAAAAACAAATGATAAGTATGTTTATTTATATTTTTAAGGAAAAAAAGGAGTAATAAAAATTTTCAAAAAATTTCCTTAGAAAAAAAAAAAAAAAAAAAAAAAAAACTTTGTATTTGATTATACTAGACTGCAACCAAACACGCCGCAAAACCTATTTATCTATTTAAATGAGTAATTTATTTCCTCGTCAGTGTTGGTAGGATTACATCAAATGAGCTTTGAAAAGCAGTGTCAAGAATCTACTAAAAACCAAAATTAATACAGACAATGCATGTTGTCCTTTTCTTATATTCTTTTATTTTTATATTGATAATAGTATTGTTTTCTTTTCTAAAAAAATTAAAAGATTTATATATTTTTTAAATTTACATAAAGGGTACTTTTATTTTTTTTATTATTTATTTATTTCTTCAATTGTTTTTCTAGGTGAAACAAAAAATAAATGTAAAGTTTTATACAAAAAATAAACATAATTTTAGAATAACGATATTACGCAACAAAAGATTTTAAAACTTATAAGGATCCAAGTAATTTTTCAATATTTATAAAATAGTTTATAAAAATAATAAAATCTTACTAAAATTATATCACATAAAATCAAATTTAAATTAAAACAAATAAAAATTGTAGGACAGGTATTTTTCCAATTAAATAAATTAGTTATAAGTTTATGGCGTTCAAAAATCCAATATTTTGGTTTGGGGTGTTTTCTTTTTTTTTAACATTTTAAAAAAAAAAAATTAATTTACTATATACATTTATAATACCCTCATGTCTCATTTCGTCCAACTCAAAGTACATTTTATTTTTATTGACATTTTTGTCTCTCTCACTTAAAAATATCAATTTTTTATTTAAAAAAATAATAATTATATACTATTGTCAAAATATGTTAATTTTTACTTAAATTACAACTATACTACTATCTCAGTTCGGCTCTAAAACTCTCATTTATTTTTTTTTTACGTAGAGTTGTTATTTGAATATTAATTATTATATCAAAATATAGTACAAATTATGGAAAAAAAATGCAAAAAACTTCAATTAGTGTCTAATAATACGATATTTTGGTGGTTTCAATATGACATTCATCACTTTATCTCTCGTGAGAGCATCCGTTATAGTCATTACATTTACCTCATTATTTCTTTTTTTATCTCTCTCATCTGCATCATATTTATCTCAATATTCAAATTATTTCATTTATCACCGGTTATAGTTAATTACCTCGAATACATTACCTCAAATTATTTTAAATTACCTAGTTTGCAGTATATTAAGTTGGACTGTGAGTTGCTACATTATAAAAATAAATAAATAAATTTGATAAATAAAAATGAAATAAAGATTGTTGAAGATTAACTATTCCCTCCACTAGTAGGAGGAAGATGATGCTAAATTGATAATGAATGATGTTTGCCAATTTGAACGATTTATAGACTTCTACCCAAATATCTAATTATTTCTATGGTGGGTGGGACACTCAACCTAAATGGATCATATCAATATATTGTATAATTATATTTAAATATATATATATATAATAAAAAATTTGGAATATAAATTGTGTTTGTTTTGTGAGATTATTGGAAAATAATTTTTTTATATATATATGAGGTATATAAAATTTTGTAGAAAATATAAAAATAATGAATATGAAGTATTAATTTTTATGAAAAAACGTGTATGAAGAAATATAGAAAGAACAAAATCAATTAATAATATATTATGAAAATTGATATATAATGTATCAACGTATATAAACATTCCATTGTTTGGATTAAACCGTTGGTTTTAATAATATAATATTATATTAGTTGATTGTAATATAAAATATTAATATTTTGAAAAATATATAAATGAGTTAATGAAATCAAAAGATATTATACTCCCTCCGTCCCGGTGCAAGGTTGTCGTTTACTTTTTGCACGTAGATTTTTTAATATTAGTATTATAATGGATTGTAGTGAAAAGGACAAAAATGCCCCTATTAGTATTGTGTAATATAACAGTAATGGCATTTGTGTAATATAGTGTAAGTTGGAAGGGTATTTATTATGTTAGGTAGGTAGTACAATTACTAAATTAGGAAATGGTAACCTTGTTTTGGAACGGACGAAAATGGAAAATAATAACATTTCAATGGGACGGAGGAAGTATATAGATTGAATTTGTAAGCAGTTGTCGTATTTTTGTCATATTTTTGTAATAAATATAATGTGAAAGGGTATAAATTAAAGAATATGTGACCATCATTGGCTATAAATAAAAATTCATATTTCTGTGGACAAACATAAAAGAAAAGCAAATATATATTTGGAGGAATGGAGTATACAACTATAGTTAACAATAGAATACATAAGGAATATAAGTAGGGGTGTGAAAATTGAACCGAAAAATCGAACTCGTTTGATTTGAAATTTTTCAAGTTCGAGTTTGCAAAAAAATCAGGTCGATTCGAATTCAAAACGAAAAATATTTTGTATTCGGATTGGATTTCGGGATAACCTGATCATCCAAAATATATAAATTAGGTCGGGTTTCGAGTTGACCTGAAATAATTTTCATTTCAATGTATTTATATTTTATTAAAAATAAAATAATATAAAAAATTTAAGTTACTAAAAAAACAATATCTTAAATTAGATTTTCATGTCTATTTCGTGTCGGGGGTCGTTTGGGTTCGTCGAATTTCGGATGACATTAAATTAAGTTAGGTTGATCTAAACCTGAAAAACAAAAAAAAACATTTGCGTCCGGGTCTAGAGTTTTGAATCAAATTTTGGGTTTGAATTCACGGTTCTTTTTTACATTCATAGTTCAACCTAACGCGAATACGAACCGAAAAATCGAGTTGACACCCCTAAATTTAAGGGTGTCTTTTTAGGTTTTTTTTGGAAAACACACTAATAACAATTTCAATTAAAATTAAGTTTATGTAATAGTTTTTATATAACATATAATTTCTATACTATAATTCTTTAATGAAAAATATTGATGCAATAAGTAGAAAACAAAAAGTAAAAATTATTGCAGCAAGTAATTAAAATTAAACAAAACATATACAAAAGAAAAGAAAAACAAATCAACCTACTAATCATAAAAAAAATTCCAAGGTTTCTACACAAACTTTCATAAAAAAATTTCCAAGGTAGTTACACAAACTTTAATAAAAAAATTTCCAAGGTTTTTACAGAAACTTTTGCACAAATCAACACATTAAAAAAATTCTCCAAAGACACATTAAAAAATATTTATTTTTTATTTTTATATTATAGTAAAAAAATATTTTATATTAAAAAAATATATCAGTATCTATATATACGTATCAATCAAACAACTATTTTAATTTAAAATTTAATTTATGTCTCATTTCAGTGATTTTTAACTTCGCAATTATTTATAAAAAAACAAACCAATATATACTACTCCCTCCGTCTATTTATAATTGTCCTAAGGTAGTTGTTTTTTTATATGAATTGACAAATTTATCCTTATGATAAGGTAGAGATTAAAAGCGATAAATAAATGGAGGGTAAAAAAGAAAAATTTGTATTTAAAAAAAAAATAAGACAATTGTTATTGACGTCCCAAATAAAAAAATAGGACATTAGTTTGTAGACGGAGGGAGTATATAAAATATCACACAAACAATGATTTTTTACAAGTTTTGAGTTTGAACAGTAATTTCAAACATAATATTTTATAAAAATATATATTTTTGTCAAATTTTTAAAATACAATATATAGATACAAATACAATATATATATAACTAGTGGCGAAGCCAGAGTTACTCTGTCGAAGGGAAAGATTTTGTTGAGGTCGAAAACTCATATTTCTATTTTTTTAAGCGGAGTTGATGGTAAAAATTATTTATTTTGATGTATTCAAGCAATATAAAAATATTAAATTTATAAGAATTGATCGAATTTAAAGGGATGGATGGCTATATATTCAATAATATAATCGACGTAATGGCAGAGACAAAACAGACCTCCCGAACCCATTTGTGGCTTCGCGATTTATCCCTTCACAAAAAATCAATAATTTAATATAAAATACTTCATCGTCTCCAACTCAAAGTACCATTTTTACGATTTTTGTCTGTTTCGTTCCAAAGTATTCATTTATTATTTTAATAAAAGTAATCATACACCAATACCAAAATACCGTTGACGTTTAATTTTTAATTTTTACATAAACTCAAAAGTAAAAATGTCAAAACTTCTTACATACTTCCACTAACTAATAAAATATTATTATTTTTTAATAACTATTCCAAAACATCAAAGGACCCCTTTAGACCGGGACGAACGAAGTATTATTTTTTATATTACCGACACAATTTATTATATCTTTTAACTTTAAAATGCATCCAAAAAAAAACACAAAGTGGGCGTACACAGATAATCCAATTCCCTGAATTTATATAATTGATCTTAGAATTCAAAACTTGTGATCAATCTATTTCCATGGCTACTGATACCTTCACCATCACAATTCTTCTTTACATTTCCCTTTTCTATCTCCTCCTAAACTTCACCATAAAAGCAATCTCCAGAAAATCCTCGAACAGGTCACTGAATCTTCCACCAGGCAGCCATGGATGGCCGATTATTGGCGAAACAGGCGAGTTTCTGCGCGCCAGCCTGGACGGCACGCCGGAGAATTTCGTGCGAGAAAGAATGGACAAGTACGACGCCAGGGTGTTCAAGACGACGCTGATGGGGGAGCCGATGGCTGTACTTTGTGGGCCGGCCGGCAGTAAATTTTTGTTCGGAAATGAAAATAAATTGGTGAGGGTTTGGTGGCCGGGCTCGGTGAGGAAGCTGCTCGGGCCGGGCTTGGCCACGAGCGCCGGCGATGAAGCCAAGCAAATGAGGAAAATGATTTCGTACTTCGTCACGCCCGAAGCCTTCACTCGGCTCTACATTAACACCATGGATTTAGTCGCGCGGCGCCACATCGACGCCCATTGGCAAGGTATGTCATCGACCGGGGTAGAATCGCTCGTTTCGTCGTGTTTGTTTAGTTTTTGTTGCGTTGACAAAAAAAATTTCGTTAAATTTGAAGTCGATTTTTAGGGAATTTTTTCTTTTTTAAGTGTTGGTCCACATTAATGTTCCTACAAATTAAAATTTTTTAGGTGAGATGGGTCGTTTAATAAACAAAAATATTTTGAAATTTTAGTTATACAAAAATAATAACTAACATATTAGGTTCTATCTATGACATATTTTTGGTCATATTCATCGACAAAATTGTTTCAAAAAATATTACATCAATTATCTATTTTTTAGTTAAATTAGTTTTTAAGCTTTCAACATCTGATCCAAGTACCAATTTAATTAAGAATGTTTTATAACGGCAATTAATTTTTTTCCCGAATAATATACGAGCTAGTAAACACCTTCGATTTCAACTAGTGATTTTTTTTTATCATCGATATGGCATTTACTAACAAGTAGTAATTTTTTTTTTTTTTTTTTTTGGTGAAGGTAAAGAGGGATTGAGAGTATTTCCTACCATCAAACTATACACATTCGAGCTCGCATGTCGCCTCTTTTTGAGTCTCAAAGACCCTAGGCAAATTTCCGATCTAGCGACCCTTTTCAACGTTTTCCTAAAAGGGATCATCTCCGTACCCATCAACTTCCCCGGGACAAGATTTTCCAAGGCTAAACGAGCTACATCCGCGATAAAGAATCTACTCCAAAAGATCGTGCGACAAAGAAGAGTTGAATTGGATGAAAAAATGGCATCCCCTCCGCAAGATCTTTTGTCTCACTTGCTCGCTTCCTCCGATGAAAATGGTAAGTTTATGCCCGAAAATGTGATCATAAACAATATATTGATGTTGCTCTTCGCTGCCCACGACACTTCAAGTGTTGCAATAACAATGTTGATCAAGAATCTTGCGCAACTCCCCGAAGTTTACGACAAAGTACTAAGAGGTTAGTTGGATTTCAGAAGTAACTTTGGGTGTGTTCGTTTATAGAAATTTACCCAATTTTTTTTATTTACCAAAATTTTTAATATTCAAATCTCAAACAAAAATCCAAACCCTCAAACAAACACACCGTTTAGGTCCCGTTTGGTTGGATGGATTTGGATTTGAGTATAATCTAAATGAATGAATTTGAAAAATATTGAATTCCAATATTTGAAATGACAATCTGAAAGAGAATGAATTTGAAATCCACAGTTACTTTAGAAATTTGAAGTTTATTATAGATGATCTAAACATAATTAAAAGATATTACGATTCGAGAACATCGAATCAAACTTGGCCTTATATTTTTTTAGTCCTATAGTAAAATCGACTTCGATCCCTATATTACAAGGATCAAAAAGTTAAAACTATAATGTACGCCGTCGCAATTGTATGTGTATGCGACAGAGCAAGAGGAAATCACATCATCGAAAGAAGTAGGCGATTTTTTGCAATGGGAAGACATACAAAAGATGAAGTACTCGTGGAACGTAGTGTGTGAAACCATGAGACAATGGCCACCGGTGAGCGGCGCCTTTAGAGAAGCATTGAAAGATATTAAGTACGCGGGCTACGACATTCCCAAGGGATGGAAGGTACCAAAAAAAAAAAAAAAGAAACCCTCGAAAATGTTAATATATTTATTACACATATTCATTATTTTCATATTCCATATACAATTCTCTATACCTCAGATAAAAAATATTTATTCAAACTATTTTTCACAAAACAAACACACCCTAAGTTTGTAGTTATTCTCGACCCGTTTTTTATGATTTTTTCGTGGTTTGTAGCTGTATTGGAGCTCTTCATCGATGCATCGAGATTCCAACTTCTTCAATCATCACATGAATTTCGACCCGTCAAGATTTGAAGGGGTCGGGCCAATTCCCTTTTCTTACGTCCCTTTTGGCGGTGGTCCTCGAATGTGTTTGGGGAAAGAGTTTGCTCGGGTCGAGATCTTGATCTTTCTTCACAATGTGGTTAGGAGATTCGAATGGAATTTAGAGATTGGTGACGAGAAAATCGAGTATGATCCGATGCCCACGCCGGTCGAAGGACTTCCTATTCGACTTCGACGCCGTAATACAAGTGAAAAGTGAGACAATTTGATGTAAGTTTTTAAGCTCGAGCTTGAGTTTGAGTTCGAGTTTTGGACATAAGATCGCCATGTTTGTTTATTTTAGGCGAGATATTGTTTAATATTTGTATTATCAAATAAATATATTTTACTATACCATGCTTTTGCAAGAGCATTTGATTAATGACTTTGTGTAATTTATTTTGTCCACATATAATTTGGAGCTCGATTTCAATTTTTAACTATACAATTTTTATTATTTTCTAAAATAAAAAATAAAAAATAAAAAATAAACTATTATAATTCTTACAAAATTGGTGATTTTAACATACTATTTTACAATAACAAACAAGACAAAAATTAATTTTGATATCAATATAACCAAAATGTATTAATTTTTGTTCTAATATGAAAAGAATCATCGATTTTAATTTTATTATAAATAACTTCAATCAATTTTGGTTCTATCATTAAAAAATTAGCAGAAATTGCTGATGTAACCTAGATACATCAAGTGACAACCATGTATTTTTCATTTTGGTCTAAAATTTCAATTTTTTTTGTTATTTTTTTTACAAAAATTAAATTTAAAATAGTTGATACAGTTAAAATAAAAAATAAATAAATAATAATCTCGATGTATAAAAAATATATCAATTTTGAATCCAATATAAAAAAATTCATTGAGTATGTTCTTTTAGAAAAATTCCGCCAATAATTTTACTATTCACCAAAATTTTTCCTCCAACGAACATCCAACTAAACATTTTATATATATATTATATATATCACTCAGATCAGAAGTTCGAAGAGACACTCCAACGTTACCAAAATATGTCTACAATATACGCATTGTTCAAGTCCCACAATAACCATAATTGTTTCGATAATTTTCTTCAAAAGATTTTCGAGCAAGGATAGCAATGTACTCATATACATCAATCCCTCGAACGAGCAATGAATACCAAAAAATTTGCAACCCTTTTCGTATTAGCAGTAGTAGTAGTCGCTACTCGCGAGCATTTGATATACACAACCTACCCCAAAACAACGACCAAAAAAAAAAAGAAAAAAGTAGAAAAATGCGCGCAACATTAAAACTATCGAATTTAGGACACGAGAAGAAGAATTATTACTCGGCATATTTTCATAGGATGTCCTCATTTGGAGTTGTCGCTAGAGACCGTGAAAGTCGAGAGCTTGTCATCACAAGGGGCCACTTGGAGAGGCTCCAAGGAATCGACAATGTCGCGCATCAAAGGCCGCGCTTTTGGATTGCGATTCAGACAATGATACGCGAGCATGGCTGCTTTGTGGAAGCCCTTCACCGGATAATCCCCTTCAAGTCTCGGATCCACAATGTTGAGCAATCTCTTCTTTTCTCTTAGCAATGGGACAGCCCAATCTGTAAGATTCTGTTCGCGAGCTGGTCTCGATTTGTCTAACGATTTTCTCCCTGTAAGAAGCTCGAGCAGAACAACTCCGAAGCTGTAAACGTCGCTCCTCGGAGTCAGGTGACCTTAGTACACAACAAAACTAAGTATTAGTCAAATTCTGCTAAGAAACACTCTCTCATCCAAATCTATGCTTCATAAAAATATATACTACTTCCATCCGACTCTAAGGGTCTCATTTACGTTTTGCGTGTTGATCTTTGAATATTAATTATTATATTATAACGTAGTACAAATTAAAAAAGATAAAAATTGCAAAAATACTTTCATTAATGTCTAATAGAAGGACATTTGAACAAAAAATTATACAAATATAATGATATTTTTAATATTAAGTACGATGACGTAAAAGGTAAATGTCAACCTTAGAGGCGGACGAAGGGAATATATTTTTATAGTAAAAAATCAGTAGTATTCTTTTTTTTAGCACACATTTAGACGAAAGAGGGATTAAACAATATTTCCGTTTTACTTTTTTTAGTAAAAAACTCATACTACTTGTGCCAAAAAGTTTGAGCACACATTTGGATTGTAAAAATTATTTTACGGAAACCTTAAAGATTGCATTATTTTGATCAACAAATAAGGGTCTGTATATAAACTTGATACACTCAAATCAAAATAAACCAATCAAATTAATCTAAACAAATATTAAACTAAATCTAAATCTAAAATATCTCAACATGGACAATAGAAAGAGTATAAGAAATTAACCGATAGGGATAACAATATATCGAGAAATAGCAATTTGTCCCACAACAAGGCCTTCGTTTCGATTTCAATCTCACAGATTAGCAATATGTAACTTCAAGGAGTTAAGTAATCCTACAAATGCACAAATTGTGTCATTCTTTTACGGCTAAAAATAGTTCTGGATTGGAAATTAATGTGAATCGGACTTAAAACAAATTCGAGATTATAATATAAGGGAAAAACTCGAGGGATTGAATTGAAATAAGGCACTCAATCGCGACCAAGAATGCTATTTTACCACAAAAGAACAAGAACTTTTGGTTACCTGTCATTATATATTCCGGTGCTGCGTAGCCATAGGTTCCCATAATTCGAGTAGAAACATGGGATTTGTCACCTTCTGGCCCGTCTTTTGCGAGGCCAAAATCTGAGAGCTTTGCATTATAGTCCTGTTATGAAAGAATACATCTTAAAGAAAATACGACAAAATCTGTAGAAGGCCTAACTCAAATTGATTTGCTAGACACTCAACCTGATCCAATAAAATGTTGGATGTCTTAAAATCACGGTAGATGACGGGCTTCTCTGCTTCGTGGAGAAAAGCAAGTCCTTTTGCTGCGCCGAATGCTATCTTCATTCTCGTAGACCATGCTAAAGGAAGCAATACTCCTGCGACGAGTAGGGGTGTAGAATTTTGAAGTGCATCGCTAATGGAAATTTGAAATGCTTATGAAACTAAAGGGCAAGAAATTGAATCAGTGCGAATTACGAGCAAATAATGGAATTCACATAGCCAGACCACTATATCCTTCGACTTAACATACATAGTATTGGTCTCACGTGACAAATTTCTTTCAAAATAATACAGATTACCCAAATGTTCGAAAGCAATCTTGAAATGATGAAATGTCAAGAACACACAAACATTTTGTTTTAGGTTGGTCGAAAACTCGAGGGAAGATTCGTAATGATACCATGCTACGGTGCTCAAGTTTTCTTTTTGTTTTTTGTATCTCTTATCGTCAACTAGTTATAATGTTGCGCAAATCATGTTTTCAATTCATAATCGAGCTTCCTAGTTGGCTCTATTTACTTAAGAGTTTTTGTTTCAATTTCTTTACTACACAACTTTCACGATTTCTATAAAAATACACTTTCGTCTCACAAAACATTATATTCAAACAAACCTCAAGTAAACAAAGAAATCCATACGTACTTGAGAAAAGATTGTTTTCAACGCTACCCCGAGCCATGTACTCATATATCAAAACACGATGCTCGTCTTCACAGCAATATCCAATCAGCTTCACTAAATTTGGATGCGAGAGCTGCCCCAAAAAGATAACTTCGGCCTAAAACACAAAAACAATCAGCCGAAACAATCTCTGCAACAATTCAAGACTGCTTAACAATACAATTGCGCGCCGTTAGCACAATTTTTCGGCTTACCAGCCACTCCCGATGACCTTGATAACTATTATCGCCATCATGAACCTTAACAGCAACGGGGATCGGCTTAAGTCCCTCTCGAAGATCTTCAGAAATATAACCTTTGTATACATTTCCAAATCCCCCTCCGCCTAACATGTAGTCCTGCCTAAAATTTTCAGTAATGTTCTTCAATTCGTTGAAATTAAAGACGATCAACGGATTAGCAGCCGTAGAGCGGCGGAGGTCTTCGACTTCCTTGGGATTCGAGGGTAACTTTCCTCCGGCCTTTCGCTCGGCCGCCGCCGAGCTTAAGCCCTTCACAGATTCTGCTGCTAATGCCAACACAAGTAAATGCTACAAATTAAGGACTAAGAACCACTAAACCAAATGCATCTGTTCTAAAATTATATTACAAGATCAACTCAACCCCAGTATACCGTATCGTAAATATTGGTACGAGAAAACATCCTATCAATATGTATTGAACCATTCAGTATACCTTAAATCAATATAACGAGAACTACTGTAAATATTTTCATACCAATGTCGTACCAATTTTTCGGCATACTTTATTAATTTTTCTGATATATCGATATAACGTAGACTATACCGAAAATTAATATATCGAAATTAACGATTGATATACCGAATAACACAAGATACTAAAAATGGAATGGTCGTAATTAGAAAAGCAAAATTGTCCATAATTCCCTTATGGTTTCAAAACTCGATATAAATCTCCATTTACTTTAAAAATTGCACGCCGTCCCTTATACTTAAAAAATATTGCATGAAACTCTTATATAGTTTTGAATCTCAACATAAATCCCCACTTTACTTAAAAAATCGCGCCAAAAACACTTTCAAAAATATTTTATAAAACCTTCGGCCATGCAAAAAATATATATATATATATAGATAGAAAACCATATTCTCAAGGAATGTTTGATTGTGGTGAAGGTTGTGGTATGAAAGTTACCGTTATCTTACCGAAAATCTATACCACCGTACCAAAATTGACATGTTTTCTATATTTTTTGGGTATACGGTATACTGCATTTTCGTTTTTCCACTGGTAAAATCAACAGCCCTAGACGCGATCGAATAATCAATCAATCCATCAAAACAATTGAATCATTACACCAACACTAAATCAATCAATCAATCAATAAACATAGATGTCGATTTCATATTGAGTAAAAAACATCCAGACGCCATCAAATTCAAGCAGCATAGATCAAAGAGATGTTTAATTTGATAAACAAAATTCAGTGTTTACTGAGAGTGAAGAATTGAAGCTCACCTGAAGGCTTAGCAGTGGAGGAAACTTTGCAAATCGAAGTTCCCCACCCACACCAGCAATTCCCCATGGCGAGAAGAAGAAGAGAGCCGCTGGATGAGAACCAAACCGCACCTGCAGAGGCGAAGGAGAAGCAAATCAAATCGAATAGCTGAAATCAAATCAAATTGAATCGCTGAAATAAAAAATTGAAAAAAAAAATTAAAAATAGGGAAATTAGGGAAAATGAGAGATGAGGTGAATGTGAAAGAAATTGGAGTGAGAAGTGGTGGGTGGAGGTGGGAGAGAATTCTTCGAAGGCAATGATGGCGGTGGAGGTGGAGGTGGGGCTACTGTGCGTGCTTCATTGTCGATTTGGCAGGCACGAATTGTTTGTTTGTATGTAGGTATGTATGTATGTATATATGGCGCTTTCGTTTTCAGCTGTAGTGGTGCGGTGCGCACCAATCTCCATTTCAATTTCTCGAAATCTGCCATGATTGTTCTTCCCCAACCCCAATCATGCGTGCGGCGAAGCACCTTTCTTTCCATTTTCCATTTTCCATTTTCCATTTTCCATTTTCCATATCCTTCTAGTCTGCTCCATGACTATGAGTCCATGAGTCATAACATTGATAAAGAATCATGATCGACCCGACCCGCTAGCTCGCCCTTGTGTTTTCGGATGTGTTTGATTGGGAGTTTGGATTTTAAATTATAATTTGAATTGTAAAAAATTTAAATTAAAACGTGTTCCTTAATAATTTATCAATTTTTTTATTTGGTTTGTCATTTATTTTTTTTATAGTAATTTTACTATCTATCTAACATTAAAAATATTTTTTAATTTATAATATTACAGTTATTACATTTATATTATACAATTTTATTGTATCCTAATATAATACAAATATTTAATTTTGTTGCAAAAATAAATTGATGAATAAATATGAGACGAAAGGAGTATAATATAAATAAATATTGATGGGATACTTTAAATGTATAATCAGTTCTTTAGTATAATATAAAAATTATAAAAAATAAAAAACAGTAGTTTGATTTTATATTTTTTAAAAAAAAAAATAGTGGAAATAGGAGGAATAACCCAAAATCCTTCGAACAAACGTACCCTTATATTTCTGTGGGCTTATTTGTTTTTTTCTTTTTCCTTGGTCCTCGGAAAATATTTTTCTTTCCCAGTAAAGGGTTTTTCTTCTTCCTAAAAAATATACTCCTTCCTTTCGTTGACATGGGAATTTAGGTAATATGAATGTATTACTATAGATACGAGAATTTAGATGAAGTATAATTAGTAAATAATTAAGAAGTATATTAATAAAAATAATTATAGATTAAGATTAAGATAACTAAATAGTTTAATTAAGATTAAAAAAATTAAATTTTAAATTTTAAAATATGATTAAAGTGTATAATTAATTTTCCAAAAATAAAAAGACAAATTATGTGAGACGGACGAAAATAGAAAATAGAGACAAATTATGTGTGACGGAGGGAGTACTACATTTGATTCTAAAGGTCATATTTTTTATTTTATGTATTACTAAAAAATATAATTATGTCCGATTCTAAAGTATATTAGTATTATTTTCTATAACAGGTTAGCAAAATGCATTAACCACGAGCTATTGTAACCTGCAAATAAATTTGTTTGGGGGTTTGGATTTTGAATTGAGATTTAAATAGTAAAAGTTTTGAATTTGAATAATTGTATGATGTGATATAAATAGGTGTTTGATGCGATGTTTTGAATGTAAAAATAATTTTTAGTATAATATAAAAAATAAAAAATAGATGTTTGATTTGATATTTTTGGATGAAAAAAATTAGATAAATAGTTAAATTTAAACCCAATCATCCAAACAAACACACCCATATTGTATCCAGGCAGAGTCTGATGGGAGTTGCGACAATATTACTCAGTAGCTGTGACAAGCTAATAATGTATTCCCTCCTTTCACTAAAATTATCACAATTTGATCTGACACAAAGATTAAGAAAAATAAATATTTTATTAAAAATATATAGATAGTTATGAGTATTTTTAAAAATTTAATTATAAATTAAAGTAAATGAAAAAAAAGAATGTAATAAAATTAGTGGTATTTGTTATAAATAAATATCGAATAGAGAGTAATAATTAAATATTAATTTGCTGATTTTACCAAATTTAGTAATGAAATAAATTTAACGGATAGACTAAAAGGGAGTATTCGTTTTCTGAAATAGTTTTAAAAAATATATTTTTTTTTTCATGTAAAATTTTAAAAAATAAATTGTGTAATAAATATAAAAATAATGTTGTATAATATATTAAATTTTCTTAAAAATAACATGTGGAATTTTTTTAGAAAAAGAACACATTCCAAAGTGGCCTATCCCAAACTTTTTAACAATTTATAAATTATTTTAATCAATATCTAAAAAAATTACTTAAAAATAATTATATTATAAAGTTTAATAAATATTTGTGTTCGATTGGTGGATTTATCCGAATTTTTATTAGTTATTAAATTTTTTATCTCAAAAAAATATAAATCAAATATTTATTTTTTATTTTTTATATTATAATAAAAATTAATTTTACATTCAAAATATTACCTCAGCTGCTATTTATATCACATTATACTACTATTTTAATTCAAAATTTTAGTATATTTTAAAAACATTTATAATTCAGATATAATTTAAGGGATTGTTGAAAAAAAATTATAAAAAACAATAAGATACGAAAGCCAAATAAAAGATAAATATTTAAATAAAAAAGAAGATTATATTGACGTAGAGTCAAAAAGAGAGAACAACCGCACCAGTATTAATTAATTGATTTAATATAGTAGTCCCTCGTATATTTTTATTTCATTAAATATTTTACTTTTTTTCATAAATACTTTTATTTTACATTACATTATTACTTTTACACCAAAAAGCAAGGGCAAAAATATCATTACATTACTTTTAACTGCCCACTATAATTAAAATACTATTCTCTCCGTCCCAAATATCGTGTGTGCTACACTGGAGACACGGTATTTTAAGATGGGTGTAATTAGTAGATAATTAAAAATGTATTAGTGAAAATAATTATCTAATAATATAAATAATTACTCCCTCCGTCCCATATAATTTGTCCATATTTTCTATTTTCGTCCTCCCACATAATTTGTTCATTCCTTTTTGGAAATATAATTATACACTTTAATCTCATTTTAAATTTTAAATTTTATAATTTTTTTAATATTAATTAAACTATTTAGTTATCTTAATTTTAATCTACAATTATTTTTATTATACGATAATTATTTTTACTAATCACACTTTACCTAAATTCTCGTATCTACAGTAATAGGTTCATAATACATGGGACAGAGGGAGTATAAATTAAGATTAAGATTAAGATAACTAATTAGTTTAATTAAAATTAAAAAAATTAAAATGAGATTAAAGTGTGTAATCATTTTCCAATAAAGAAAAGTGACATGGTATGTGGGACGGACAGAAACAGCAACATGGACATGGTATCTAGGACGGAGTGAGTATTATTTCTTAAATACAGTGCCAAAAGTAATTGTATACTTTATGAGTGGACGGAGGGAGTAATATATTTTTAAAAAGTTCTAGTATTATAAAAACAATTGAAAGAATATTCCTACCACCTCCGCACCACATTGGGTTTTTTGGTAGACACAAGAATTTAGGATAAATATAATTAATAAATAATTAAGAATGTATTAATGAAAATAATTAATCTATAATATAAATGATTATAGATTAAGATTAAGATAACTAATTAGTTTAATTAAAATTTAAAAAAATAAATTAGAAAATTTAAAATAAGATTAAGATGAATAATTATTTTTCAAAAACAAAAAAAATAACATGAGACGTGGGACGAACAAAAATAGCAACCTGACAAAGTAAGTGGGACTGATAGAATAATATTTTAGTAGTGGTTGATAGTATATAGTTGATAAAATTAAAATTATTTTTACTAAAAAAAATAATAATATGATTGTAAATAAATACTTCATCTGTCCCAATACAATAGTCTCGTTTACCATTTTTGTATGTTCCAAAACAGTAGTCTCATTTTCATAAATAATCATATCATCATAAAACTATTCATATTTTATCATTATTATTACACAATTACCACTACTTTTTACACTAATATACTCACAAAGGCAATAAAATTCATTTATCCTTACTTTTTATCAACTACCAATATAATATCAATATTCTTTAAATCTAGTGTCCAATACAATAAGACTATACTTTTGGGACAAAATGAGTATAAAATAGAAGTATAATAATTTATGATACAGTGTATTCGTCTCACATAATTTATTTTTATTTTCTATTTTTATATGTTCCACATAATTTGTCTTTTTCTTTTTAAAAAATATAATTATACACTTTAAACAAATTTTAAATTTATGATTTTTTTTAAAGTGAGTTTTAATTTGATATTTGGTTTACTATTATTTTAATATTATATTTTATAAAAAAGTAAAAAAAATATATTTTATTAAAATTTATATAAATAAATAATATAAATTATAATTTGAAATAATAGAAAATTAAACTTTTAAATTCTTAAAAATGAGGCAAAATGGGTCAATCTAATAAAATATATATTGATATTAGAAAATAATTGGACAAACAAACTTATTATTTAAAATAAGTTCGGTTTAATTTAGGGCTTGGGCAAGTGAAATCAAACAAGCCCACTAATTACTTAGGCCCAAATTTTGTTACTAAAAATAAATATATAAAGGGATATATTGAAACTAAAATACATATTTAATGAAATATTTTTCTTAAAATATTATCATTAAAATTTCTGCTATTTTTTTTTTTTTAATTTGTTATCAAAGATATTTTTATTCTATATAGTAAAAAGTTATATCATATTTTTTATTTTTGTAATAAAAATAAAAAATAAAAAATAAAATAACGATTACTATTTTTTATAGTAATTTAATCCCTTACGGACAGTTAACAATTATGTAACAAGTGGTAGCGGTGAGAACTGAGAAAGAAGGTTGCTGTTTTGACTTTGACTTTGACTTTTGCATTTATTATTATTAATTAAGGGAGTATTTATTTACTTTCTCCCTTTCACATGGCAACTTTCTCTCTTTTTATACAGAGGCGGTTATTGTTATCAATTGCAAAATTTAATACTAGTGTTTTGTATTTTTTTCGTATCAATTGAATATTTTATTTATATTATTTTTATATATTCTATTTAGTAATTTTTGTATATATATATTAAAATATTTTTAATTTTTTATATAAATTATAAATATACTATCATATATACATAAAATATAAAAGATAGAAATATTAAAATTATTTTAGCTCCATAAACACCATCAAACCACAATAAAGTGAGACTCGAGATTTAAAACTCTGATATTATGTGATGATATAAGTGACCCTCTTATCTAAAAATTTCAATTTCTAGAAATATACATAATTTATTTATTTATAAGAATTTACAATATATCTGAACCAAGGGAATATATGTTTTAAATATAAAAATAAGATGTGGATCTCAATATGAGAATTATATAATGCAATACATAAACAATTAGGTTCGATCGAAGGTTTACCCAGTGTATATTTTTGGATAGCGATTGCGGATTTTCACGTAAAAAAAAAAATAAAAATCACACATGGTACAAGAACAACATATTTATTACATTAGCATAATACAATTGATTTTTTAAATTTTGAAAGTTTGAAAAAAAAAAAATTTAAAAATTAAAAAATAGAATTTGTTTGTTTTGTAAAATTGTTTAAAGAACATTTCTTTTATATAAAGTATAAAAAATTATATAGTTATATAAAAATAACAAGTGTATATAATATATTAATTTTTTTTAAAAGATATATTTGTATGTTTTCGCAAAATAAACAAATCATTAATATTTAGTTTGATACTTTATAAATATATATATATATATATTTGATGTGGTAATTTTTTAAAATATTGAATAAAAATTAATTATGTAAACGAAGCTCATAAATATATATATATATGGTGTTTGTTTTGTGAATTTTTTTAAAAAATATTATGTAAAATATAAAAAATTATGTATAAAATATAAAAATAAAAAATATATGTAATTTATTAATTTTTTCTCTGAGAAACATGTAAAGAAAACTTTGAAACTAGTATTTCATAAATAAATGAAATATTAAATTATGAATACTATATTAAACGGATAATATCAATAAATTTTTTGGAGCGAAGAGTAACACATAACTTCAGCCACAAATCCAAACGTACACGTATAAACATTAAAAGAATGTGTACTCTAACTCGGGAAGGTGGCTGGAAGTAAAGACAAAAAAATGAAGAAAAAATCTGATACAGACGCGCAAATAATTACTCTAAAGAACAATGTTTTTTGTGGTTTTGCAATAAATTAAAAAATAATATAATTTTATTAATTAAAAAAAAATGTATATGAGATTTTGATATTTTTTTATTAATTTTGACTTTATATATCTGTTAACAATGTGGGTAAAAATTAAAGGGTATTTTAATATTGATTTATAAAATAGAAAAAAAAAATACTTTGAAATGAGACGAACAAAAATGATAAAAATTATACTTTGAATTTGAACAAAGACAATATTATTGTCTCCGCCGTCTAATTGTGTAGTTAAATTTTTTAACACAAACTTTAATGAAAATATACTCCCTCTGTCCCAATACAATAGTCTTGTTTACCATTTTTGTTCGTCTCAAAATAATAGTATCATTTCCATAAATAATCATATCATTATAAAATTATCCCTACTTTTTAATTATTATTACACAATTGCCACTACTTTTTACATTAATATACTCACAAGGACAAAAAAGTTATTTATCCTTACTTTTTTACCAACTATTAATATAATATCAATATTTCTTAAATTTTGTGTCCAACACAATAAGACTATACTTTTGAGAAGGAGAGAGTATTATATGATAATTATTATTTTTTATTTTTATGTGAAAAAGAAAAATATTTCATCCCTCCCTTATTTATGTATTCGTTTTCTTTTTGTACGAAGCTTTAAAAATATTAGTATTATATTAGAATATAGTATAAATAAAGTAGAAAAGACTAAAATAATTTTATTTGTATTATATAATATAAAAGTAATTATATTTATGTAATATATTGTAAGTTTTAATATCTATAAAAATTATAATTATTAAAAAATAAATATTTTATTATAAAATAAAATAAAATATAAAATTGAAAAATGGTTGAACAAGGAAAAGAGCATTAAGTATTAATATTGATAATATAAAATAAATTTAAATTTAAATGACGGAAAAATTATTATTTCTAGTATTATTTTTTTAAAAGAAGAAAAAGACCACCACGAGAACAACGAGGAGACACACCACGCCGCAAGGGTCCTCATCCTCAGACTAAATCCTCAGTCTTTTCTTTACCTTACGGCATTTCAGTCGTTGACTCAATTCGCCATTGTTGTACGGCAACCCCAACCTCAATTATCTTCTACTTCCTTAATTAAATTTATTATTTCCACTCTTCCTCATCTATTCTATTCTACACTAAGATTCTATTTATTATTACCTTCGATTCGATGTACGCCGCCACTCTCGCCGTCGTCTTCTTCCTCCTGTCGTCGTCTTTTCACCTCCGGCAAATCGCCGTCGCCTGCAACCTCCACGACCGCGCCTCTCTCCTCTCCTTCCACCGCCTCCTCCACCCGCCGCTCAATTGGTCCGCCGCCGCCGATTGCTGCCTTTGGGAAGGCGTCGCCTGCTCCGGCGGCGCTAGGGTTTCCCGTTTGTCCGTACCGAACAGAGGCCTCGCCGGAACTATCCCTCCCTCTCTCTCCAACCTTACTTCCCTCGTCAGTCTAAATCTCTCCGGCAATAAATTCTCCGGCGCCCTCCCGCCGGCGTTCTTCCACGGCTTGTCCCGCCTCCAAGTCCTGGACCTCAGCTCCAACCGCTTCTCCGGAGAACTCGACGGCCTTACTCTGCCGGCTTCAATCCGAGCCGTCGATTTATCGAACAATCTATTCGCAGGCGCCGGCGCCCTCGGCGGTTCCTTTCTCCGGAGCGCGTCGGGTCTCGTCAGCTTCAATGTCAGCAAAAATTCCTTCGCCGGCGCCGTCGATTTCCGCGTTATCTGCAACGCCTCGCCCCTCCTCGAGGTCCTGGACCTCTCGTCCAACGAATTCTCCGGCGAGCTGCCGGAAGGCCTCTCCGGCTGCTCCGGGCTACAGATCCTCCGCGCCGGCTTCAACCGCCTCACCGGAAATCTCCCTGCCGACCTCTACAGTGTGAAAGCGTTGAAAGAAATCTCCCTTTCGAACAACCGGTTTTCGGGTCCCATCGCCGCCGCCGTCGCCGCTCTTTCAAATTTGACAATTCTAGAGCTCCAGGTCAACGCGTTGACCGGCGAGATCCCGCCGGAAATCGGGCGGCTGTCGCAGTTAGAACAGCTTCAACTCCACAGCAACAGCTTCAACGGCTCTTTGCCGGCGGCGATGGCCGATTGCCGCCGTCTCTCGACTCTGCTCCTCCGCAACAACAATCTCACCGGAGAAATCTCAGCCGTCGATTTCTCCAACCTCGGGAGGCTCCAAACCGTTGATCTAGGTAACAACACATTCTCCGGTGAGATTCCGGCGACCCTCTGCCTCTGCCGTTCCCTGACAGCCGTCCGATTGGCGTACAACAAATTTTCCGGCGAGCTTCCGCCCTGCGTGGCTTCCCTCCGATCCTTACAGCATCTCTCCCTCTCCGACAACTACTTATCGAACGTCGCTGGAGCTTTAAAGATTCTCAACAATTGCCGCAACATAACGGTCCTGTTCCTGTCCCGGTGTTTCGACAACGAATCAATGCCGCAAGATTCCGATTTCTTACATCTTACCGGATTCCGGAACCTTCAGATTCTCACCCTCGGCGGCTGCCGGCTCGAGGGCCGAATCCCGTCGTGGATCGCGAAATTAAAGAATCTCAAGGTCCTAAATTTATCGTACAATCGAATATCCGGCCCGATCCCGTCTTGGCTCGGCAAAATGCCGAGCCTATTCGTGCTCAACCTTACAAAAAACTCGTTATCCGGCGAGCTCCCGCGCGAGCTCGCCCGATTGCCCGCGCTAATCACGGACAACTCGACTTCCGATCTGAGTTACCTCGCATTGCCGTTTTTATTCGATAAACTTCAATACAATCGACTTTTCAATTTGCCGCGCGGGCTAAAAGTCGGGTTTAACAACCTTAGCGGCGCGATCCCGCCGGAAATCGCCCGATTGAAGCTCCTCCATTTGCTCGACCTCAACGACAACAATTTCACCGGAACGATCCCGCCTCAGCTCTCCCGATTAACGAACCTCGAGAGATTGGATCTCTCGGGGAACCGTCTCTCGGGGGAGATCCCGGGATCCCTCGCCGGCCTCCATTTCCTATCATCGTTTAGCGTCGCGAATAATGATCTTGAAGGCGAAATTCCGAGGGGGGGGCAGTTCGATACGTTCCCCGCCGCGTCGTTCGACGGGAATCCGAAGCTCTGCGGCTACTTGCTGCGGCGAAGCTGCTCGATCGCGGCGACGCCGCCGGGAATTTCGCCGGATAAAGTTGGGGATAGCTGGTGGCGTAACGTACCGTTCGGAACGGGGTATTCGATCGGATTTTTGGCGGTGATCGTCGTTGCCGGCGGCCGGAGTTTCCGGGGAATGGAGAGTAGTGATAGCGCAGATGATGTAGAAACAAGAAGTTCTGTAAGTAGGTCTATTTGGTAGTGAAAAATATCATTGTTAAAATCGGGGATTAAAAAGTCGATTTTAGGGGTGAATATTCAGATTTATGGTTCAGAATCAATTTTAAATTTTGTATAAAAAATTGATTCAAACAAAATCAAATTTTAAGAAATGTGAATTCTAAATTCAAACTAGATTGAAATTTTTAAAATTGCATTATATATCTAAAATTTTGGAAAAAGTAAACTTTAAACAAAGCCAAGTATGTTGGTTGTTCTAATCAAAATCAATGTCCAATACGGACATTGTAAGTCTGATACCATCTTATGAAAAAATTATGAGTTCCAACTTAAAATCAATTATGAAGTAAGGGACGACGGATGATGTGGAGAGTGAACTTAAGACTTTGACTCAAATAAAAGAATGCAATTGAATTAAGATATTTTCTGTTTGTGTCCGCTGAAGGAAAATTTAGAATTGATCGACGAAGAAATCGATTCAGCGCCGACGAATTCACCTACAACAACCAATGGATTGGGCTTAGGGTTAAACTACATGCTTGAAAATGGGTTAAAAGGTTTAGGCCAATCCGGTGGGCTGAATTAAGAAATAGATCAATTTACTGAATTAAGAAATAGATCAATTTATTTTATTTAGTGAGGGATACAACAACTAAAACTTTCAAAAAAACGATAAGTATTGATTTAATATTTTGAATATAAAATTAATTTTAATATAATATAATAAATAAAAAATAAATATTTGATTCCATATTTTCTTAGGATAAATTTTTCTATAAAAGATAAAAAAAAAAAAAAATGTCAAAATCTTTCAAACAAACACACATTTGATAATAAAAATAAAAGTATTAGATCAATTTAACAAAAGTGAACACAATTTTCACATTGGTATGTTTCTATTTTAATTTCACATCAATTTAATTTTTTATTATTCATAATTTTATTATCCATGAATCCGAAATCCAAAATCAAACTTTAAAAAAAAAAACCCATCAAATTCTTAATTTTACTGTTCATATACATTGAATTTCTCTAAAAGAATTATCATACTCCTCCGTCTGATAACAAAGTATCCATTTGTCTTTTGCGTCATTGTATTAACGTTGAAAATATCCTTATATTTGTATAATATTATAAGACACCAATAGAAGTATTTTTGTCATTTTCTCTTTATTTGTAGTATGATTTGATATAATAATTAATATTCAAATATCAACACGCAAAAAAAAAGTAAATGAATACCTTGTTATGGGACGGATGGAGTATTATATATTTATCTTTATTAATAATTTACATTCAAAATAATATATCAAAAAAATATACTATATAATTAGATTAAATAAGTATTTCAATTCAAAATTTTATTATTCCTAAAATACATTTAAGTGATCGACATTTCCTGGTGATCAACTTTACTACTTCAAGTTCTCCATCATATTGTATTGTATTTTAACAACTCGTCGTTATTAGTGTCGACAAATTAGAGGCACACATTCAATATAATACAATACGGGAGATTCTAATGCCGACAACAACCAAAACGCTGTGATCTTTGGGCACCTAAATCGAATGAGATGCGGAAATAGTTAATATAATAAAACGCTAGAAAATAACCACTCACATTCGAAAAGGCACCATCAGCATAGACAATACTTTCAAATTGAATAGAAGATTTAGCTTCACAAGAACAACAATGTTCGAAATCTTGAAATCCTAAAAAGAATAATAAATATAGAATACAAAATTAAACTGAAAAACTAGACAGTCTTTTAAGATTTCAAGATACAAAATATCGTTGGTTCCTGCGATGTTAAATTTCTAATTCGACTTGAAGGTCTTATCTATGCTCATGGTGCCTTTTCGAATGTAAGTAATTCTCTTCTTACGTTTTAATATACTACAAAAAAATAGTATATTTGTAACGGAATTCCATCCCTAAAGATCACGTAGCTAACGTAATTCCATCATTAATTCCGTCTCTAATATCATTAGTAACGGAAAAAATAAATTTAAAGACGAAAAAATCTCGTTACAAAAATGATATTTTCTTGTAGTGATATCTTGCTAGTAAACTGTATTTCCATGAAATTCTTAAGACTATCGAAGCATAACTTTTAATAATTCATATGATTCGAGATCCCTTCTCAAGGGGCCAATTTAATGTAAATTTCATAACGAAATAATTTAATAATGTACATAAGACAATAGCCGATCTCCGCTATTGAATATTTTCTCGCATTGGTAAATTCTTGGAGCTCTTCTGTTGAAGATGTCCTACATTGAAAAAAATATGGGAATTCCATCGTCTTATAAGGGTGAAGGTTACTATACCTACCACTAATTGGTTTAAGTTGGAAACTTGGATCCCTTCTTTACAAGATATCAAAGGTATCAAAGTTATGGTGTCCATATTGGGTATTGATCCTATTTTGATTTTCGAAATTATCATCTTAAGAGGGGGAGTGAAGGCCACCCCATCTACCACCGATTGGTTTTATATTGGAAGTTTGGATCTCTTATTGGGTATTGATCCTGTTTGCATTTCGAGATTATCTTCTCGAAGCACCCCGAATATCTTATTGGGTATTGGTCCTGTGTTTTGTTAAAGTACCATTCAAAATTGTATATATATTCCCTAAATTCAAACTACGAACCCAAACCTTGAAATAAACCTATTTATTTGGTTGTGTTTTCAAACTCTTATTTTTACGTTTAATATACAATAAATTTCTATTAAAAAATTATCATATTCTATATTTATTTTTGATTTAAAATGTATCAAAATCTATATATACATATATATATATATATTAGATTAAATAATCATTTCAATTTAAAATTTTATTATTTCCAAAATACATTGTAAGGAAACAACATTTCATGGTGACCAACATCACCACCTCAAGTTCTCTATTGTATCGTATTTTAACAAAACACAGCCATGTCGTTCATTAGTGTCGACAAATTAGAGACCCTCGTTTGATACAATACAAGAGATTCTAATGTCGACAATAACTAACACATTTGGTCTTTGGCCATGCAACTCAAATGAGAAGTTCAAACGATGAACATAATAAAACACTAGAGCATAACCGCTCGCACTTGAAAAGACACCATGAGTATAGACAATACCTTCAAATCGAATTGAAAACTTTACATCACATGAACCAACTATATTTTGAATGTTTGAATGAGAAATTAGATAAAAAAAAAATTGGCATTTTTTTGGGACTTCAATTAAAAATATTTAGTTGGTTCATGCGATGTAAAGTTTTAAATTTGACTTGAAAGCTTTGTCTATACTCATAGGGCCCTTTCAAATGTAAATGATTCTTTTCTTGTGTTTTAATATCTTGCTAGTAAATGGTATTTCCATGAAATTCGTAAGACAATGGAAACATAATTTATAATAATTGATATGGGATTCAAGATCCCTTCTCTAGGAGCCAATTTAATTTATGTTTCCAAAAAAATAATTTAATAACTTACCAAAAACAATAGAAGTTAAAATTCGATCTCCACCATTCAAAATGTGTATCTTGATGCCATCTTTCTCCGAGGAAATTTGAATCGATTATGCAAAGGACTTTCTTTAGTTGCATTGTCGATCATTATTTTCTACCAAAAATTGAACCGTTAAAATCCGATTTCTACCATTCAAAATGTATATCTTGTTCTCATCTTCCTGTAAGGAAAATCGAATCGATTTTGTGAACATGAACAGTCTAAAAGCCCTCTTCTATAAAGACTCTTGAAGTTCATAAAAATAAAGAAAAAGAAAAGAAAATTAGAAAAAATGTGACCGATTGGCCAAGAATAAGAAAGAAAAAATATTTAGTGTTACCTTAATATTGTTAGTTATGTATGCCAAATATATATAGAGGTAGGGAATATTCCTAATTAATTTTTTTCATGCACTATTTGACCACACATTATTTTAATTAGTTATTATCTATAATTAGTTAATAATCACATTAACTGAAATAACATGATTCGTTATTAATTAAAAAATTTCGATGATCTTAGTTAATTAATATCACATCAATTACCTAATTTTTTATTATTTAAAAAAAAAAATCAAAACTCAGTTCTCAACAGTATATGTATATATATATTTTTCCTCTTACAAATATTATATCAAATATTATTTAAACAAAAATTTAGATCTAATACTTCATTTCAAATCAATTTTAAAATGTAACCAAACAAACCTCGAGAACATAAGTATTATATATAATTATTATTTCAATTTAATTTTTTTACCATTGAAAATTGTAATATCCCTAAATGAAATTCAAACTCAAAAAAAATAAATAAATAAAATAAAATAAAATAAAATAAAATAAAAATCCTAATTATTAATATTATGTTTTCAAGCTCTCATACACAATAAATTTCTATAAAAAAAATATATCATATTATATAATTATTTTTTATTTAATTTTTTATATTCAAAACAATATATCAAAATTCTCACACACACACATATATATATATATATATACATATATTAAATTAAAGAATCATTTGAATTTAAAGTTTTATTATTCCCAAAAATACATCTAAGTAAACTACATTTCTAGTGATCAAATTCACAACCATGTAGTTTATTAGTTTGGACAAATTAGAGGGAGTGCCATTGATACAATATGAAAGATCCAATGCAACAACAACCAACACATTTGGCCTTTGTCCATGTAACCACTACAAGAAAAAATTATTTTTGTAACAAAACGTTTTTGTCTCTAAATTTACTTTTTTCGTTACTAATGACATTAGAGACGGAATTAGTAATAGAATTACGTTAGTTACGTGAACTTTAGAGACGGAATTCCGTTACAAATATATTATTTTTTTGTAGTGAACTTAAATGAAAAGTTCAAATTATGAACATAATAAAACACTAGAAAATAATCGTTCGGCATTTGGAAAGACACCCTGAGCATAGACAATACCTTCAAATCGAATTGAAAATCTTGAAATTCTAAAAAGAAAAATAGACATGAAGTGCAAAATTAGATATAAATTTAGCATTCTTCTAGGACTTCAAAATTCAAAATATGGTTGGTTCTTCTGATGTAAAATCTCTTATTTGCTTGGAAGGTTTTGTCTATGTTCATGGTGCATTTTCAAATGTAAGTGATTCTTTTCTTATGTTTTAATATCGTACAAATTCAAAATTTCATACCACAAGGATCAACAATGTTCTGAATCTTAGAAATTCTGAAAAAGAATAATAGACATTAGACAAAAAAATTATGCTTTTGTTAGGATTTCAAGATACAAAATATTGTTGGTTCTTGTGGCGTTAAAGTTCTAGTTATGTTAAATTTTATTTCAAAAAAAATTGTTTTATTTTGACCATCAAAATAAAAGCCTACATAGGTATCAAAACAGATTTGATAAACTTAAACCAAACAATCTAATCTAATGGATATAATCAAATCATAATATAAATATAATATAAACTAATCAAAACTAATTTAACCAAAAAAATAGACTAAATTTAAATTCAAAATATCTCAATATTCTTCAAACTTAGAGACTAGAAGCTTCTTAAGGAGAGTAAGTTGAATCATCCAATGTGCGCTAGTAATTCCATAGAAACTAACTTGAGTTTGAATAAATTTGATCTGAGTGAATAGCAAACGGAGGCTCATAGACGGATATGCAGACAGAACTTTGCCCGAGAGTTGGAGTTGATCGCAAACAAATATGCAGATAGATCGCAGATATGCATAGCAAATATGCAGATAGATCGCAGATATGCATAGCAAATACGCAGACAGATCGCAAACATATATGTAGACAATGAATTGAGTCAGAGTCAACTCAGACAGATCGCAGATTTGCAGACAGAAAACATTAGATAAATCGCGGACAACAGAAAAAGTGCAAACACGCAGATAGCAGGTGGATGGCTGAAAAATATGCAGACAGATCATAGGACTTTTTTTCCTTTTTTTTTTTTATTCACAAACACCTTTCGGAGAAAGATTCACAAATAAATATTGCATACAGATTCACAATCAGACTTGTAACTATAGATATGGTCTTAAAATAGCAAAACCTCTAGATACATTTCAGGTTGAATATACCAGAACTAACATGAATTAGTAGGCTATTTACCTACCTATGAGAAAAAATATAAATAGACTCTCATATCATATTAAAAATTATTATACAAAAACTTGAAGAATTGTTTAACTTTGACTATCAAAATAAGAATCTATATATATAGGCACCAAAACACATATTCAATCAATTCAAATCTTAATCTATATCAATTAAATCTAATATAAACAAACCAAAATAGACTTGAAAATCTTGTCTGCACTCATGATTTTTTCAAATGTAAGTGTTGTCGCTCAAAATATTTTTCGGCAGCATACGGGATCTAACCAGCTGAAATTCGGGTGAATTCTCCGATTTCCTCCAAAAATGATCCGAAACAGTGTTCGAAAATAATAAATCAAAAAATGAGACAAAAATTAAGGAGAAGAAAACAAGAAAAATAAAATGAATATGGCAAGAAAGTTAAATGAAGCAAAAAAGAAAATAAAAACAGGAAAGTAAATTAATACCAAAAACAATATTCTTTGAAATAGAGTCTCCACCATTTAAAATATATATCTTGACGTCATCTTTTTTCAAAGAAATTTGAATCGATTATGTGAAGAACTTTCTTGAATTGAATTGTCGATCATAATTTTCTGCCAAAAATTGAACCGTTTAAATACGATTTCCAACATTCAAAATGTAAATCTTGATGTCATAACATAGATGTGTAAGAACCTTCTTCTATAAAAACTCTTGAAGTTCATAAAATAAAAATTAAAGAGAGAGAGAGAGAGAGAGAAATTAGAACAGAAGAGAAAGATTGGTCAAGAAAGAAAAAATATTTAGGGTGCTTTTGTTTTGTGTTTTAGTTTAAAAAAAAGAAAAAATTGATGTGAGGTATAGAAAATTGTGTAGTTAAATTTGTTTTGTGTTGTCGCTCAAAATATTTTTTGGCGCCTTGTCGGAACAGCCCTGAAAATCCGGTGAGTTCTCCGGCTTCCTCTAAAAAGGATCCGAAACCCTATTCGCAGGTAATAAATAAAAAAAAAGAGGACAAAGATAAAGGAGAAGAAAACAAAAAAATAAAAGAAAATGACAGATTCTCCAACTTCCTTCCACAAAGGATCCGAAACTGTTTTCGCAACTAATAAAAAAAATAAATCAAAGATGAAATTAGAAGAAAGCAATAAGATAGATGGGAAGAAAGTAAAAAAATAAAAGAAAGATACAATAAAATTAAAGAAGACAAAATAGAAAAAATAAAGAGAAAAGAAGAAACATAAGAAAAAATGCATAGAGAAAGAAAAAAAAATAAAGGAAAGGGAAACGAGGCAGCAAGACCAAAAAGAAAGAAAAAAATAAAGAAATAAATTGCATGAGAGAAAATATGGTTTATTAGTATCTTTCTTTTAAGCTACTAAACATATATATATATATACTATTTCTAGTACAAAAAGAATTATATTTATAATTTGGACTTCCAAATATAGATCTGGCATGCTAATAAACAAGGTCTGGGCTCATAAAATCGGATTGTGTCTAGCTTTTGCTCGATTTTTAAAATTAATATTTAAATTTTAATCAATTTATATATATATATATATATTAATTTTTTAAACAAAAACAAACATTACACTATGACATGATGGTAAAACTAAAAATAGACAAAATAGTTTAGCCGATCGCAAATCGAGCCGTGCTGCTAGCCCATCCCAGTTTGGATTCGACACAAAAAAAAATAGCATATTTTAAAAAGCAACGATGAAAATTACACATTTCTTAACAATCAAGACTACCTAAAATTCTCCGTTGTATTATATTGTATTGCAATTCAAGAAAACACAGCCATGTCACTTATTAGTATAGTAGTAGAGTCTACAAATTAGAGGCATTCCTTGGAAACAATACGGTAAATTCTACTTCTAATGCTCACAACCAACCAACCCTTTGCTCCATCACAACTTCATATTCATATTCCGACGCCCAATTCAATCCCTCCAAGCCTATTTACATTTCATCTAACATGCTGCGCCCGCGCAATTCATCAGTCTTCCGTCAGCCAAATCAACCAAATTTTCAATAGATCTACATACAATCAACGAGATTATAATTAAAGATATGTGGAAATACAAGTGCCGATTAAATGAACATAACATATGAATGCAACCGGAGAACAAAGTCGCCAATCCCATACAAATAATATGATATGACCATACTCCTTCGTCCTGAAATTTTTCACTATTCTTTCTAATTTCGAATATTCCAAGATTTTTACAAATTTTTTTGAAACACATTTTTTTCACTTATACCATTCCATATACAATTAAACAAAATGATAAACAAAATATATATCAAAATTATATCACATAGAATACTTCGCCAAAAGTATAGCAAGCAAGCTAAATGAGACGCATAGTATTAAAACTTCTTAAATTCCTAGATCATTTTGACTAATGTATTTTTAAAATTTTTGTTTTATATTTAAGTTCTTCAATTGGTATAGAAAAAAGTTCCAAATTATGTTCTCCAAAAAATTCAACACCAAGATCATTTCCATGAAATTCAACGAAGGCAACGAACCCGAGAGAAGAGATCAGAAAGCATCAAAATATCTTTTGTAGAAATGCAATAAATATATGATTACTGCAATACCAACAGAATCCCAATGGTTGGTTGGATCAGGCCAGAAATTAAAATCAGAACCCGATAGAAATTCAGGGCTTCAAAGGCAATAAATAAACACAAGTAAGAAAAACATTTTGCATACCACTGCTGAACTTTCCGAAATTCTGTAAGAACTGGGTATATATTCTCAAATGCAGTATAAGTCTCATCTCTGACCTGCACATCGACAAGATAATAGTACAACGTAGGATGTTAAATTAACTAAAAATATTGAAACGAACCCCACACCAAAAACCAATATTGTTAGGCATGGAGTTACTACCTTTGCGCCTGTAAGAACAATCTTTCCGGAGACAAAAATAAGTAGGACTATCTTTGGTTGTTTCATCCGGTAGATTAGTCCAGGAAACAGTTCGGGCTCGTACTAAAGCAACAACCAATTCATATTAAAAATAAATTCCAGAATATCAACTAAGAATTTTAACACAGTTAAAATCTTTCTATGAATTAATGCCAACTACATAAAAAGTCGTCAAGAAAGGAAATGTATAGATGCAAAATGCTGCAAATCAAATTTGATTCAAAAGAACCAAAACACAAACCAATTAAAACCATATATTTTGAGAGATGTGTATTTCATAATTAAGTATATTTCAGGTGCTCATTTTAATTGGCAGGAACTAGGCCACAACCACATAACTCAAATGAGAAGTGCAAAAGATGAACAAAATCAAAACGCAAGAAAAGAACCACTCACACTTGAAAAGGCACCATGCGCATAGGCAAGGCCTTCAAGTCGAATCGGAAACTTTACATCGCATGAACCAACGATGTTTTGTATCTTAAAATCCTAGAAGAAGAATAGACATGAAATATGAAATTAAACTATAAAACAAGGTAGTAAAAATTGTAGTAGTAAATAATCGGTAAGGTCAGAGAGAAGCACCTTAAACTTTGCTGGAAAACCAAGCTTTTGAATAATTCTGGCATACTGGAGAAAATGGAAAGGCAAATGCAGATTGAAGCCACCGATAAAAGATGTCTTAACATGAATAAATGACTTCCCTAATTGATGTTATTCATCTATTTCATATTTGTAAACTAAAAGAAACACTGGTTCTCGAGTAATGTTTTGTTCCGTCAGCATCACTCATAAAAGTCAGCATCTCTCTCTTCTTTTCCTTTTTTTCATACAATTGTCTACTATGCTAAATCTAATTAACTTTCATTATCTATCTACAAACTTAGCAATGATCCCATTGTTTTTGCTTATTGTCTTCCAGCTTGAAACAGACTCTAAATCTTAAGCATGTTTTTAACATAAAATTATTTGTACCTTCCGGGCTGCCAATTTCGATTGTTGTTCACTCTTGGCTCCAGTACAGACCTGAAGGAACAATGAAAAACACATTTTGAGAAAAACCATCTTGTATATGTAAGTCTTGCAGATGATCACCTCATAGAATTCCATATCAGTTGAGCTGTGTAGAGCTTTGCCCTAAACAAGCTGACCTAGACTCAGTTTCTAGGCCTCAGGCTTTAGCTCAACTTTGAGCTAGGTGTACTAGTAGATCATCAAATTTTTACTAAGGAAGATGCTAATCGTAATACTATGGATCCTAATACAAGCAACCAAACAAACCAAGTGTCTTTAATATCTATTCAGAACAACCAGACTTTCAACAATGCGGAATAAAAGATGATTATTTGTCGTTAAATAAATATAGAAATAATTAAGTTGTTGAATAATCTTATTATTAAAAAATCGAGCCACCTTGCAAGCTAACAAGCCAAGTGTTTCATGGCCAAGCTTGAGAAGCTCACAAGTAGACAACTTATTTGCAACCCTAAAATATGTAAACTTTAGGGGATGGAACATAATACAAATATTTGATATATACATAGCACCTGCAATTATTAATTTTTTGAACAGAAAATATAAGCACAAGCAATGTCTAGAAGTCACAAATGATGGCCAAAATACCCTTAGAACTTACCATTTTCCCTGAAGCAAATATCAATGCCGTAGTTTTTGGTTCTCTAATCCTCATGATTACAGCAGCAAAACGCTGGAAGCCAATTGCAAGGTTAGAGCTTGCAATTGTTTCTAATGATGAAAATTTATAAATCTAAGATCTTTAAGGTAACACATAGATAAGCAGAAATGATAAACTACACAACACACAAGATGCACTTGCTGACGATGTTCATAAAAGGCATAATATAGAAGTTAACGATCAACTTAATTAAGATATCCTAGCAGCAAAATAACCAAGTAATAAAGCAAAGCTGCACAATAAGGATACATTTAGAAAATGAAATGGAGCTAAGCATACAACAAAATTAGAAGATTTGACTGCCTGACACAGCTACAAGTATTGCTCAGAGCATCATTGATGAACGAAATTACACCATCAAAACATAATCAAAGGCCTGAACATCATAAATCATCATGGATATTGTATCAGGTTAGCACACCTTGGGATTGAATTCTGCATTTCGGGCCTGCAATGCTATTGCTTTCAGGTCTAGCTTGCATTCTAAATTTACTGTTGACACAATATTCCTGCATCCAGAAAAAATGTTAAAAATTAGCACATTATCTTGCAACTCAAATGTACAACACAGCATATAACACATCACTTTCACAGAACAAAATCACACATCCCTTCTACAAGATGGGACCATTGTTGTCGATTTCAAATAGCGGCCAAGCCCCAAAACAATAGCAGAATAGTGCATAGCATTATTATCGTTATTTAAAAATCCAACAATACACCTTTATAAATAGTTAATAGAATATTATATATTATTAGCACAATCATAATGTGCAAGAAAAAACTCTAAACTTATCCCATAATCATCATTCCAAGTAAATCACTAAACAAAGTTTACTATCATAGGTAGTCATATAAACAAAAACAATGAGATCACTACTCATTTTCCTTTTGAGACAAAAAATTCACTATTCAATACATCCCAATTGGAGACTTCAGATCTGATCCGCACTGCTGCAATTCTATGCACGGGTGCAAAAGTGGCACTACGGGTGCTATTAACAACTTTGGATGGAAGCAATATACATTTAACTACCTCAACTAACACATTCCTGTTGTATTCTCAACCGTGTATAGTATGCATAGACAACAACAGCAAGGCTAAGTTTGGGTTGACAACAGGACAAAAGGCAAAGTCCAAGGCAAACATTAATTCCTTGGGGACGGTTACTTCCGGCAAACACAACATAACTCAATGATGTACACCAAAAAATCACTGAAAAATAGTCATGGTTCACTCATCTTCAATTTGCAGATAATATATCTCAGGCACATTGAATTTCCATTTTGTTATTTATAGAATTTCCACTTCACTAGGTGGGATCATTATTAGGATGCAGAACCAAAGCCATCTCCTTCTCATGTACACTATATTGAGAACAGAGCTTCTATCTCATGTTTAGTTCAGGTTAGTAAAAACACAAACTAAGGTTCCTTTTATCCCATTAAACCCCTTCACCCCAACAACTGTGATTGCTTGCAATCATCAAAAGATTACATCAATTATACTCTTTGCACATTTGTAGCCATTTTTCTTTAGAATTATACTTAAAATGAGTAGAGTACTTGGGATGTTGCTTACATGCTTTTTCATTCCCAGTCAAGTAATAACAGTTCAGACAATGATAGAGAACTCAAAACACCATGTGAAATATTTCAGAATCTTAAAATTAATCATCATACATCATCAATACTGATTTTGAAACTAAACAATATCTTTTTTTATTAGACATCATTGAGACAGTGAAGGCATGATCTTACTGAAGAGTTGGAACTATTCCAGAAGGATGCTTAGAAGAATCAACTGGTTGGTTCCCTTCCAGACCTTGGGGATCAGCCATCAAATTCCTCCAACCCCGATCCGCCTGTAACACATGTTCACCCACTGTTCATGACTACGAGATTAAAAAAATAATAATAATGATTACGATAAAATAAAAAAGAAGATGAAGAAGAACAAGACAAAAAAGTGGGTTCTCTGTACAAATCAACAGAACCACAGATTTGCTCATGAATTTCGATCAAACAAAAAAAATCAAAACAAGAATATGAAAAAGAACAGATCAAGCCATCAACCGGCCAAGATTCCACCCTTCTGAGAAAGAAAACCATCAAATCTCAGCACCGCAACGAACCCCTTCCCACCCACCCGCCAAAAACCAAAAGCATAATAATCCCGCGAAATCAACACCGCCAAATTCGAACATACAGCAAGCAGGCATGAACAAACACGCATACAAGAATCACAAGCCAAAATTAATAACATAAAATCGGAGACCTAACGACCTTCGTACTCAATCGATCTAGGGTTTTATATGTCTCACTGCCGTTGGAGGAATTCACAACCGAAGACAAGATTCTGTGATTAGAGCGATACAAATTTTAAACAAGGCATCTTTTATATAGGATTTGAGCGCTGCAAATACATATATATATGATGGGCGAGAGATTTATAGAGAGAGGGGAAGAGAGAGAGAGAGGGAGAAAGCTGGATGCGAGAAATCTGTCTGCTGCGGGAAAGAGGGCGCAGGTAATGTACGCGAGTTGATGCGAAATTACAACCCTACCCTTGTAATATTCTGCCCAAATTACCCCTCACCTTTATCTTGTATCTTCCCGTTGGATTTGACTTAGCAAATAAATTAATTACTTTTAATTATATATTCAAGATTTAGTATTATTTTTTTTTCAAAATCATCTGAAGAAGATATTAATCTTAAATCTATTCTTTTTTATTTTTCTGATTCAATTATTCAAGCCTATTTCAATTTTTCCTTAAATAAAATAAATACTGATCCAATATTGGGCCGGGCCGAAATTTATAAGAACTACCCGGCTCGGCCCATTTTCCGGTTCAGGGCCAATCTTGGGTTGGGCCGGAATATGTTATTTTGTAGTTTTTTTGGCAATTTTGTACGAGGAATGTAGCTTATTGGGTCGGTCCAAATTGATATTTACAATCTTGTGTTTTTGTATTTTAATTTAATTATTTTAATAATGAATATAATTATTTTAAGGGTTTGTTTGTTTGGGGAATATTTCTCAAACTTTACTATTCATTCAATTTCCCCCACAACATCAAATCAAAAATCTATTTTTTATTTTTTTTTATGTTATATTAAAAATCAATTTTACATTCAAATATTACATCTACGCCTATTTATATTACATCGTATAACTATTCACATTCACAATTTTTATCATTCAAATCTCAAATCCAAAATACAAATTCCTCAAACAAACACACCCAATGTGTGTTGATTTGTTGTTTTAAAATTAGTGTGCGGTTTTAAATATTAAAATTAAAAAAGTTGTTTGATATGATATTGTTAATGCTATTTTTCAACAATAAAAAGTAAAATCTGAAAATTGGAAATTATCTTCGAATTTGATATAATTAGTGTCTGATATTAGAATCTCTAAACACGGATATATAAATAAAATAGGAAAAATAAAACTACAAACTGAAGTGGTGATCTCCGAAAGCAATTCTCTCGAATTTGATGTCGATTGAAGATGTTTTCTCAGAACAGACCCGAATCCTTAAATAACCCTTTAAAAAAACAGTTTGAACCGCCGTCTGGTCGGTTACAGCAACCGCTATCAACCGTCCAAAAAGTCTTCTTCTATTGACACGTATGTTAACCGACTCACCAACCACATAACCCAACCGACCAATCCAGAGACTAACTGATCGCTAGACCAAACGAATCCTTGGCCGCCCCACCAAGCGACCATCATCTAGTCTCTTGTCCGACCTCGTATCGTCCGTCTCATTCTTCTTCGTCCAACCTCACTTGGTCCGACCTGCGTAATAACCGTCCTTCTTCGCCCGACTTCCTCTTTCGACCGACCGCAGTATCAGCCGTCCTTCTTCGCCTGACTTTCTCTTTCGACCGACCTCCGTATCCCGTCCTCCGTCCGACCTCATTTGGTCCGACCGCGGGCCAACCGACTACGGACCATCCGACCGGTCCAACCGACTGCGAACCATCCAACAGCGAACCAACCGACCGGCTCTGTTTGCCTTATCTCCTTAGATGATACTTCTTCTTTGCTCGACCTTTGTCTTGACAGACCTCCGCGTCTGCCGATACTTCTTCTTTGCCCGCGTCTGCCGATACTTTTTCTTTGTCCGACCTTCGTCTTGACATACCTCCGCTTCCGATACTTCTTCTCTACCCAACCTTCGTCTTGACAGACCTCCGCGTCTGCCGATACTTCTTATTTGCCCGACCTTATCACGTCCGATCTCCGTGCCTGACCTCCGTATCGGCCGATCATCCTTCCTTGTCCGACTTCTTTTTGCCCGACTTCTGGGCGTTTAGCTTATATTCAGACTCATCCATAATCTGCTATTATTTATTATTATTATTATTATTTGTGCTCAACCAATATAAATAAATATGACTCTGATTTTTGTATGTAAAATTAAATTTTATTGTAATATAAAAAATAAAAAATATATATAATTTGATATTTTTTAAGAAAATTAATGCATAATAAAAATCGAGTTAAAAAAGGGGCAAACTTTGTTTGTTTACTATATATTTTTTATTACTTTATTTTTTATATTAGATATAAAAATTTGTATTTTTGTGTTGAAATTGGTAATTTGTTTAAAGTAAATAAAGCATGTATATATATAATGTTATATTAATATGTGTATACATTTATATTTTTTATGCACAATGTGAACAAACCCAATAAAATTTTAAACTGGGTTTATTAATATAAATATTTTATTTTTAGAGTATTTGTCAATATTTTTGTTCTTTCTATAATTTTTTTACACATTTTTTTTAAAAAATTAATATACTACGTATATTTATTATTTTTATATTTTCTATGCAATTTCTTATATTTTACATTAAAAAATTTATTTTTCAACAATCTCACAAAACAAAGGCAATATATAAAATGAGTTTAAATAAAAAGTAAATATAATTTGAAAAGCTAATGAATAAAGAATCTGCATTTTAAGAATGTGCTCAATTGATATTAAAAGAAAAAATAAAATTAATATTTAGTTTAAATAGTTTTTTAAATAAAAATATATTTATAAAAAATAGTAAAAACTGAATAATAATATTTCTTTTTCAAAAACAAAAGCTAATGTACAAGTAAGAAATTAACAGGTATAATACATATATTACAATTTTTTAAAAATGAATTACCTTTATTAAAAAAATCTCGATTAATTAGTACTCAAATTTTAAATTTATTAATAATTTATTTGTACAAATATAAATTAAATATATTTTAAAATATCATATTCCACAAGGGATAGTCTAATGATGCGTGTGGATCCGTGACAAGTGGACCCGCAACAATTATAGTGTGACTTTCTCACATTATATAAAAAAAAATATATTCCCTTTCGTTTTATACATTTATTTTTAACATAAAATTTAAAAAATAATAATATTTTAATAGTAATTGATAATTAAAAATAATTTAAATACAATTTTGCCTTTACATTTTGCTACAAAAGCAATAATATGACCGTAAAACATAAATATTTATAAAAAAAAATGAGATATTTAATGAAATTATTACTTTATAATTGGACAATTCAAACGAATGAAGTATCGTATTTATCTAAAAACTTTTAATGATTATTGTGTTCTTTTTGGATTTTATCACGTATTTTTATTATTCATATTATTTTTCTCTTTAAAAATATCACTTTTGTTGTGTTTTTACATAATACAAACAAACAAAGTGAACAAAGTAACCAAACACTCCCTGTTGAAGATCATGTACAATTCATCCTCGGACTTGGCAGCAGCGGTTGGCTTCCATTGGCAACGAACAGGCAACAGCAGCGGCGGCGTCTCCCTCCTCCGGTAGAGACTTCCAGCGAACTCCAGCAAATTTCTTCGGCGATTCTCTTCTTTTTTCGGCGATTCCCAAGCAACTCAAAAAAGTCGATCGAAAAACTATTTTGACGGTTCAGTCTACAACCTAATGACTAACACTTAGGGACTAACCCAATTGCCTCCAAACAAAACCCTAAACCAACGGACTCAATCTTAGAACCCTAAACAATAATAGACAGATTTCCCCAATAACCTAAGAACACCCAGATGAACAACTTACCGAATGAATCGAATTAGAACGATTGTAATTTCGGCGAATAATGAAACCCCCAAACTTATCCAGAAGAACAACGAAGATGAACCAGAGAGAGAAAATCAGAATTCAACCGCGATCCTCATTAGAAGGAAAGGGAAAGTTAGTGCGGATCAGGTCCTTAGATACGAGTTGGGTTAATTGGACTTGGTATTGGATTGGATCAAAAATATCAACAACATTAAACAGTTATTTTATATATATATATATTATATTACAAATTTATTTTACGTTCAAAACATTACGTCAACTTCTATTTATATCACATCAAACAACTATTCAAATTCAAATTTTTACAATTAAAAAATTCAAACCCAAAAACTAAAAACATACACATTCATGTATGTAATTCTATATATAATTTCAATATTTGGGGTGTATTTTTCCAAAATTTTTATTTTTTACTTTTTTATTATTATTATTATTTTGTATTGTCCAATTTTTATTATTATTTTTTTATTTTAAAAATCTTTAGTTGCGTTTTTTTTTTGAGTTTTATGGTAGCTTTTTACTATTCAAAGATTTTTTATTTTTATTTTTTTTTAAATAACATATCAAATAATTATTTTATTTATATATATTATACTACAAATTTATTTTACATTCAAAATATGATATTAATTTTTATTTATATCATATCAAACAACTATTCAAATTTAATTTTTTACTATTAAAAAAATCAAAACTCCAAAACTAAAACCACAGACAAACACACTCTATATATTATATTAATGTCGCTTTAAGCTGCAGACATATGTTTCGACATGCTAGCTTGCGTAACACAAGGAAATCAATTGTGCAAAAACAGATAAATAAATAAGTAAATATTTACAAAATCATTTTTATACAACTTGAGACTAAAATATAAATAAGATCACAAAAAATAATTTTTAATTTAGTATTCCATGTACCTGCCAATATATGCTTACGACACTAAAGAACAATTTGGCCAATTTATTTTGTTATTCTAGACATAGCTCATAAATCAAACTATCAGTCAATAATAAAATTTAGAATTAAAATAATTATTTAATATAATATAAATATATATTTCCTCCGTTACATCGGAATTGAACTATTTGATTAGGGACATGGTATTTACAGTGATAATATTTAATTAGTTAATAATAATTAGTTATGATATTATTATATTATTTTTTTGTATAATTAAAAATATTTATAATTTTAAAATAAATTTAATATATATGATTAAAAAAATTAAAATATATGTGTAAATGTTTAAAAATTATATAGTAATTAAAAAATATATATAATATGGATATCATTTTGTAGATAATAAAATCTTCTATAATACAAGTAAATAAAAAAATATAGATAAAAATATTTATTTTTTAGGAGAGAGATAGAAATAAAGAAGTTTTGAGTAGTCCTACGTTATTTATGTTATTTATGATGTTGTATGTTATATATTTAATTAAATTAAATTTATATTTGTTAAATATGTTTTAGTTTAATAATTTTTACCGTATATTAATGTGATATTTTAAATATAAAATTAAATATAATATAATATAATAAATAAAAATTAAAATTTTTATTTGATTTTTTATTTTAAAAAAAATCAAAATAGTAAAATCAGTTAAAAGTTATAACAATTAAACTCACCCATAACCGCTATTAATTTTGATTATTTATTATTTACTACTGTATTATTTTTGTTTTGTAAAGTCATAAGCTTTCGTTTTATTGGTCATATTATATTCAGACTTCTTTACTTTCCTTTGAAAACTTGACTTGTTCCCCACGCAGAACAGACCACCGGAGCAGAACATCGACGGCGGCGGGCCGCGCAATCGCTATCTTCTTCCTCAATCTCGACCAGATTTCCATCCATCGCCGCCGGATCCTATCCAGATCGCCATGGACACCACCAACGGCGGGCAAGCGGTTGCGCCGGTCATGCGTCCCAAGACCAAGATCGTCTGCACGCTCGGTCCTGCTTCTCGTTCTGTTCCCATGGTGGAGAAGCTGCTCCAGGCCGGGATGAACGTCGCGAGATTCAATTTCTCTCACGGTTCTCATGAGTACCATCAGGAGACTCTCGATAACCTCCGCAAGGCTATGGAGAACACCGGCATCCTTTGCGCAGTCATGCTCGACACCAAGGTCTTCCCCTTCCTATTTTCCCGCACGTATTTGAAATTAATTTGTGTTTGCTTTATTTTCGCCTGTTTCTAGTCCGCGCTATCTCCGATTTCGTTAATTCTGCTTTGGATTTTATCGGTGGTTTGCGCTGATTGACGCGGGGTATTTGCGATTTGTAGTTGAAACTCCATCAGATTTGTGTGATTTTTTTGCCTGAATTTGAGTTGCAGTGTGTCGCATAGAACTTTAATACTTAGGAGGGTTTGCGATTCACGTCAATGGCGTCTTAATTAGGAATACACTGAAATTAACAGCGTCATGTGTAAATCTAATTGTTACTGGGAGTTCAGATCTTATTCTGTGATATATATATGTGTATCTACATCTATATATATGTATGTGTATCTTACATTGCACTCCGAAATTTGTTTCTTCAATTCAGCCCTTGCGTATGAATTTCTTGTTGGTTTATTGCTCTCATGATTTTGTTCTAACATGTTATGGAGAATTTCCGAGTTTCAACATTCTTAGAAGCTGTAGGTAGCTAACCATGTGATTTGCAAATGTTTCCCTTTTACATCAGAGGACAAAGTCCTCTATGGTTTCTTTTCCATGAAAAACTCCTACTGTTTTAAGAACTAACACAATTCCAGAGTGTTCCCTCTACATAAAATTGCAGTTATAGTCGATAGCAACAAAAATTGTTTCTCCTATAGAAAGACGTGTCTGGATTATGTGCCCATTAGGGTTCAGGATAATCTATCTTTAGTTCTAAGTTTTCTCTAGGAAGATTAACCTACTTTTGTCCAACCTTATTTCAATAAGAATCATCGACGCCTTGAGAATCACATTATTGACATCTACTAAAATTGTTCAAGAGCATGTCAAAACTTGGTCATGGAACTAAAATTAGTAGTTGACTGCCGGTCTCTCAACTATCAAACAAATGCCCTTTGGTTGAAATTCTTTGCCCGATCCACATAACTGTTTCCAAATTTCAACTACTTTTCAAAATCAAATTTCTTTTAGTCAAAAAATATTTTTTCAGGGTTTAATTGAAATTTTGAAGCGTTTTGTGTTGGATTACTGCTTATTTCTATTGATTCGAGTGATAATGAATGGTGAGTGTTTCTATTTGAAATATGTATTTCATTTGGTATTGAGTGTTATATAATAATTATATATAAGGTTGCTATTTTAGCGTCCAAGGTATACAGTTTCATTAGTAGGAATGACTATTGATGTGTTGAATTCTTGAAGTTTTTTCTTGCTTACTTACATAATAGAGAATCTATGTGAATTTTTTGAGTTAGGCATTTTAAATTATATATATATATATATTGGGTAAAATGCATCTAAATATTTTCATATTCTGATCAAATCTATTTTCTAAAGAATGTAAGAGGTTTCGTCTGATTTTATCAGACCATTTCCACTTCATGAAGATAATAGATTAGTATGTAGTGAAGCTTTCTTGAAAGCCTTCGTTGTAAAGTGAGTTAGTATGATAATCTATTTTCATGCCTTCCTAGTTTCTTTGCAGCAGCATATGTAAAATTGTACGAACCTCTATTTCCGTCAAGGTCTACTTAGGGTGTGTTTGTTTGGGGGTTTGGATTTTGGTTTGAGATTTCAATAGTAAAAATTTTGAATTTGAATAGTTGTATGATGTGATATAAATAAGTATTGATGCGACTTTTTTGAATGTAAAGTTGATTTTTAGTATAATATAAAAAATACTAAAATATGTGTTTGGTTTGATATTTTTGAAGTGAAAAAAATTGATAAATAGTAGAAATTGGGTAAAATTTGATATAAGAACACTCCCTTAGCTAACACTACTTCCCGAGGTGTCTCTATATATGCTACAACTTATTTATGCATATTGTAATAGCTAGATTAAATCTTACTCCCTCCACCTGATTCCTTCGTAATTAAAATGTTTCCGTTTCATTATGGTCTTGGGGTTTAATCATTTTAGTATTTCCATGGTAAATCAATCTCCACGCCTCGTGCATCTCATTCGATTTCTGACCAGTTAGTTGAAAAGACTTTCCCCTTAGCCTTCCATGCCTTACTGATTGAAAGATGGCTTATTTTCTCCATATTTGTAACAGGGTCCGGAAATTCGAACTGGGTTCTTGAAAGATAGCAAACCCATCCAACTGAAACAGGGCCAAGAGATCACCGTATCCACAGATTACAGCATCCAGGGTGACGATAAAATGATCTGCATGAGCTACAAAAAGCTGGCCGAGGATGTAAAGCCAGGAAGCGTGATACTCTGCGCTGATGGCACAATTTCCTTCACTGTTTTGTCTTGTGACAAAGAAAACGGCTTGGTAAGATGCCGCTGTGAGAACACTGCAGTTCTCGGTGAGAGAAAGAATGTCAACCTTCCTGGTGTCATCGTGGATCTCCCAACTCTGACAGAGAAAGACAAGGAAGATGTCTTGAAATGGGGGGTTCCGAACGAAATTGACATGATTGCTCTTTCATTTGTGCGTAAAGGCTCTGACTTGGTGGAGGTTCGGAAGCTGCTGGGCGAACATTCTAAAAGAATCCTTCTCATGTCTAAGGTCAGTAACAAATTATCAATACCTTCTTTTATGGGTTCACTGCAGTGAAATAAAGAAATGGTATCTAAAATTTCGGTACATAAATTTCAGCACTACTTGAATGACAATAGAAAATGGTTAAACATCGAAGCATCCTTAGTTCATGTTACCCCTACTATAACCCTTGTTTCCGATTTCTATTAGGAGAGTATGATCAGTTTACTAAAAAAGGGGAATGATTCCAAAGTACAATGCAAGGATGTCAATCTTGCCGTACTTTATTTTACCCCATGTTTCTAATTTATGTCGTGACTAGAGCTGTTGTGGAGCCGAGTGAGCTCGAGTATCGGTTGTTCAAGCTCGACTTGAACTTGTTAACGGTATAAGCTCGGCTCGGCTCGTTAAAAATTCGAACCAAAATAGTGGCTCGAGCGTGGTTCGTTAGGCTCAAATTCAAGCTCGAGTTCGAATAGTCAGAACTTGAGCTCGGCTTGAATTTTATACATATTATATATATTTTTTAATACATAAATTAAATATATTTAATTTTATACATAATTTTTTATAATAAAAAAATCAAATTTTAATGATAAATGTAAAAATTTTGATATAAAAAAATTATACTATATATTACGAGCTCGAGCTCGGCTAGTTTATGAAAAAAATAATTTTTGAGTTTGAGCTCAGCTCGTTTATCTTTATAAACGAGCCGAGTCGAGCTTGGCTCGCGAGCTGTTCAATTCGTTTTACAACTCTAGTCGTGACCCCTTCATTTATCACTCGAAAATATAAGAGCAACTTGAGCCCTAAGCCATCCTTAAGAAAATTCATGAATACATTCTTGATGCATTCGATGTCCAATTTAGGATTGTCGCATGCTTTGCTTTGCTTTCAAATTTGATACACATTAGGTGAATTCTGAAAACTCTATTTTATCCTCCGTCGGAGATAGTTTGAATCTCATCGGATGTTGTTGAATTCTTGTCTATGTTAAGGCCTTGAAATATTGACATAGAATATCTTCGCCTTTTATTCGATTTTTTTTACTAGGTTGAGAATCAGGAGGGCGTGGCGAATTTCGACGACATTCTTGCGAATTCAGATGCGTTTATGGTGGCGAGAGGTGATCTAGGGATGGAGATTCCGATCGAGAAGATATTCTTGGCTCAGAAGGTGATGATCTACAAATGCAACATCCAAGGAAAGCCCGTCGTCACCGCAACCCAGATGTTGGAGTCGATGATCAAATCCCCGAGGCCTACTCGCGCCGAAGCCACTGACGTCGCCAACGCCGTCCTCGACGGAACCGACTGTGTCATGCTCAGCGGCGAAACGGCTGCGGGAGCTTATCCTGATCTCGCCGTCCGCACAATGGCCAAAATCTGCATGGAAGCCGAGAGCACGATCGAGTACGGCGACGTGTTTAAACGTATAATGGCGAACGCGCCGGTCCCGATGAGCCCTCTCGAGAGCCTTGCGTCATCGGCCGTTCGGACGGCGAACTCGGCAAGAGCAGCGCTGATTTTGGTCCTGACCCGGGGAGGGAGCACCGCGAAGCTGGTCGCGAAATACCGGCCGGGCATGCCGATACTGTCAGTCGTGGTCCCGGAGATCCAGACCGACTCATTCGATTGGTCGTGCAGCGACGAATCGCCGGCGCGCCACAGCCTGATTTTCCGGGGTCTGGTTCCGATTCTCTGCGCGGGATCGGCGAAGGCGTCGCACGAAGAGTCGACCGAGGAAGCGCTCGAGTTCGCCCTTCAGCACGCGAAGACGAAGGGGCTGTGCAAAGTCGGGGATGCTGTTGTCGCGCTTCACCGTATCGGAACGGCGTCGATTATCAAGATCGTTACTGTTAAATGATAACGGCAGCTACTGTTAAATGATAACGGCAGCGTCGCACCGCCGACCGGCCGGAGTTCCGTTCAGGCGGTCCGGCCGGCCGGCTCCGTTCAGGCGGTTTTTTTCAGGATGACGAGGAATAAAGGGTGATCGATTGTTATGATTAATATGAAAGGATTATTTGTTCGAAGATCACGAACCTTTTTATGTGTTTTTTGGCTTGGATTAATTTGTTTATTTTGTGTGGGGAGTGAGACTGCTCAATGGAAAACATATCGACATTACTATTATTACATTTGCATTATAGGAGTGTTGAAAGAAAATTGAGTTTTTATTACTTAGAGTTTGTTTTATTGTTTCAAATTAATTATTAGGATTTTGTTGAGAATTATACTGGTGGTGTTAAAATATTTTTTAAAAAGTAAATTTTTGTTATTTTTAAATTTTTACAGAAATTTTGTGTATTCTTTTTTTTTAAAAAAAAAATCACATATTTCTAAAAAAAATAAAATAAAATGATATATTACAAATAATGGGTTTTTATTTTTTTATTTTTTATATAGTATATAGATAATAAATAAATGACAACTCACAAGTATTCCCAAACCTCGCCCGATCCCACGCCTGCGGTACGATAGAGATTCCATTGGAAGGGAAAGGAAACTGGAGAAGGAGAATTTCTGATCCACGCTGCTGCAATTCGCTTCCTTTGCTTCAATCCCATCGTGAGTATGAAATCATCTGTTTATCTGTATTTTATTTGTTTCTCCGATGCGAATTTCTCTGTTAGATGATCGAGAACGGTTCAGATCCAATCTGCTTGCGCGGCTATGTGTTCAATTAACAATTCGCTTATTCGTTCGATTGGGATATTCGATTAATTTAGGTTTTGGTTTTTTGGGGAAGAACGAAGATGGCAGCTGCTTCGGCGGCATTAGTGGCTGTGATGCTTGCTATCACGGCGCAGTTCGCTTTCGCATCCACAGTCCCCGCGTTCCTTTGGTCGCCTCACCTAAACGAGTAACAATCGCGCGCTATGCTATACTATGCTCTGTTTTGATTTGTGTTCTTCATTCACAACCCTAATGAAAACTGATAGTTTGATGTGCTGGCTTCATTCACAACCTTGTTTTCTATGATTTCTTTAATCATGTGCTTATTGGTTCTTTCCTATATCTGTTAATGGTCTTGCAATTTTGTGGCAGACTGCAAAAAATAGTTGAATACAGAACTCTCTCCCCAAGAGATTTAGCTAAATCGGTGATGAACCAAGGGGGGTGGTCGAAATACCTGGTATATCGTGCCCCTGTTCTGTTTTTTTTTTTTTTTTTACATCAATTTTACTGGGAGATATTATATATAAAAATATATTGTCTATTTGGCCAGAAAACATGTCCGTTTAAGCAGGGGTTTTTGGATGGAGACTTTTGAAATTTTGGAAATTTGGAAAAAAAAAGTAAAAAGTTAGTATTTGATTTTATGTTTTATGAGAGAAAAAATTGATTTGATGTAATGCTTTTGAAAAATTAATAATGCCAAATGAGTACAATTTGTTTAGTAAACAAAGCTGTTTCTAGTTGGATTTTGTTTTGGGATTTGAATAGTAAAATTTTTGAATTTAAATAGTTGTATGATGGGATATAAATAAGATTGATGCGATGTTTTGAATGTAAAATCAATTTTTAGTATAATATAAAAAATTAAAAATAGGTACTTGATTTGATGTTTTTAGGGAGAATCTTTTTTATAAATAGTAGAAATTTTGTAGAGTTTTGTAAACGAACACACCCTAACTGTGCTGGTTACTTTCTGTTTCAACTAAGAGTGACATGTAATTGTTGTCCTCAGTGCTCGGCAGAAGAAGATAAGGAGTCAAAGAATTTTGCATTTCTTTTTGTTGGGACAGAGGTATTGATATCACTTCTTTTGTTCATATTGCAGGAAATAGTCTTCTATAGTTTATTTTCACCTTGCCACTCATCAAATTAGAATGAAAATATTTTTTTTTCTTTTATTTTAATTATGTATGTATACATATATTGTTTGGGAATGGTTCCATATTGTTGCATAATTGTTGTCGCAGACACTTCAGTAATTCACTAATTCCTATCCATTGATCCACTTTGCCTGTGATTATATAACAAATATAATAAATATTTGAAGGCTCATCTACTCGTGTTTTCGATACTGTTTTCACGCTATGCAGATAGTAAAAAGTTATCTTTTTCAACTGTTAACTCTATATAACAACATTAGATTTAGCCATCATTTTCCATTCCGAGAATTTCAAATGCTAAACAACCCAAAACACCAAAAGTATCCAAAAACACAAGCAAACATACTCCAAACTACTGGCTACATAGTTCATCCTTAAAAGTGCTAATTCCTATATGAGCTGTAATATGCATGGATTATCTGCTAGTTTCGATATTATTATGCAAGCTAAATATATTCATTAGCAAATACTTTAACAACAAGTGATGCCTTACCATTTGCATATGTATCAAAAGTTAGTTTCTAGGTTAATTCTTTTCTTTTCTATTCTTTTTGAAGTTTTTCATATTTATAATTTATTAAATGAACAATAAAGATTTGGAATCTTTAGTTGTTTTTAACGTTTAAGGCGCTGAAGCTTGCACAAATTGCTGCAGTTGTCTTAATCTATGTAGAACTAGTAATAGGCTGACGACTTCCATATTGTTTGTGTTACATCTTTATCATTCATTACTGAAATATGTAGTTCTTTATGCACTTGCAGCCTCTCGATATTGCAAGACCCACAAAGAATGATCCCGCTCTTCTAGACTTGCTGAAGGTTTAGATTTGTTAGCCTTATTAATTCCGTGTTTTATCATCATTTTGGAGCATTATATTCATGTACTTTATTTTACCTTTTGATTTTAATTCACGGCTTTTTTTCAATAGGACTCCTTTTCAAACTCCAACTTCTCTTTGGCATTTCCTTATATATCTGCTGAAGGCGAAAGAGTGTCTATAGAAGGCTCTATGATTTCAGAGTTCGCAGATACCTGTCAGAAAAACTTGGGGGTCGGTAGTATTGCTCTAGCTGGATCGTGCTTTATACAGGGCGAAAATTTTGAAAGAATAAAAGATCTTCACTCCATACATGTAAGCAATACACAATATTGTAGTCTGTTAGTAGCATCATATTTAGTACTTTTGAATACATGATTGTATGCAGTATAAATTACATTTATTTCTGATGATGAAAGACACACTAATTTACTTGTAGGACTACTTGAACTCAAGGATTGAAAAGATTACCGATGGGCGCACAGACCTGATTGTGTTGTGCCCTGAGCATTCACCTTCTTCGCAAGATTCTGACAGTATGCAATAATTGGATTACATATATGTATATATATATGTAATATGTACATATATTTCATTTTTTATTGTTCATGTCTGACCAACAATCCTAATAGCCTAAATGTTTCTATTGTTCTCTGCAGGCAGTACTCTTTCTCAGGTTCTCAACTCTGTACATCAGTTGGGTGCAAAATACACTGTTCTCTATGTCTCAGATCCATTTAGGTCAATGAAGCAATTAACAAACCGGGGACTAGAAAGATTTCTTGCTGAAGGTGCCAAGGTAAATGAATCATCTGAACCTGCCTTCTGCGATGGAGTGTGCCAGATTAAGTCGTCACTTTTGGAGGGACTTCTGGTGGTAAGTTCATTTTAAGTCAACTGCCTATTTCTTCAGAAAACATATAGTTAGAATACTTGATATTAAATACATTCGAATTCTATCTTTCCCTTCCAAACAACATTATAACATTTCTATTCATCCATAGTAGAGGTGGGCAAAAAAACTGAACCGAATTTCGGTTAACCAGGAAAATTTGGTTTGAATACCAATATTGCATATTTGATATTTGTTTGGTTTGATTTCAGTTTTTGATATTTTTCTCGGTTAGGTTTTTGATATTTTTTTCAGTTAGACTTTTTATATTATTTTTTGTTCGATTAACTGAATCGAATATATTTTTTATTATTATATTTTAAATTTTATATTAATAATTATATTTGGTTTGGTTTCGGTTCTAATATTGAAATATTTGCAAATATTGTTTATTTAATTAGAATTTTAATTATTTTTTAATGTATTTTTTCTTAATTTTCGTTCAGTTCGAGTTATTTGCAAATATTTTTTGTTAAAAAATTCAGTTAATCAAAATTTTCAGTTAGAATATAGTTTGCGGTTTTGGATATTTGTTTGGTTCGGTTCGGATATCAAATACCTTCAAATTTACAAATAATCGAATCGTGTCCACCCCTAATCCATAGTAGGAAATACCCGAAATATTACCCGTTCTGTTTTTGCAACTTTTCAGGGAATCGTCTTGCTTGTGATTTTGATATCGGGGCTTTGCTGCATGATGGGGATTGATACTCCCACGAGATTCGAGGCTCCACAGGATACTTGATCAATTTCGCAATCAATGGATTCATCTATACTTATCGGGTCAGTGTCTCTGTTTTCCATCTGCTGTGTAGCTTATCTTATGTAGGAAATATATAACCCTCTCACGACATGCCTGCTCTGTTTATGTTTGCGCTTATGATCAGACGTGTGCTATATATTTTTTCCTGCATGTGTTAGTTTTTTAAGGGGAATCAATCGAATAATATGGCGCCATGGGCTTACGCCGATGCTCTGTACTTGCCGGGAGGCTAAACCATTCCGATTTTCTTGTCACACCCTTGTTTGTAGTATTTTTTAACATCCAATTTTATTATCACTTCTGATTTCTCTTTTTACTACTCTCCAGTTTGTGTTTTGTATAGTGCAATTTTGGTATGTGATAAATCGGCATTTGGGGCAGGATTTTATGACTGGTGTTCTGTTGGTTTGGTTTTGGATCGTGTTTAAATAATGGTTTGATTTAATGTTCGAGTAAAATAGGGTTCTGCTTAGATAGACTTTTTAAGAATTTTAAAGATTTTAAATTTTTTGAAAAAAATTAAAAATTTAGTATTTGATTCGATGTTTTGTGCTATTTTCACTTGAGAGTTTGAATGGAAATTTTTTATGAATTGTGTGAGACAAATCTTAGAGAAATAGAGCTTTTATGTTCCTATTAAAATCTCAAAGTTATCCTGTGAAACTGTGTCATAAATATAAAATATATTATTATTTTAAATTGAATATTTATTCTTTTTAGCTTTTGTAATGAGTATTTAATTATTATTTTTGAATTTTTATAAAAAAGTATATATTTTTTATTTTATTAGTATTATTTATATGGAATCAGGATTAAAATTATTTTTAGGATAATAGAGATTATAATAATTCCTATCTCAAATTTCATCTAAAGACCTTATCATAATTTTTATTTCAAAAAATATATCCAGTTCATTTTCCAAACAATATTACAAAATATGAAGCCAAAACATAATAAAAATATATACTACAAAAGTAAGAATAATCATTAACTATTGTATAACAAACTAAATTTATAAGCCCCTTAATAAACCACCACAGCTACAATAATAATAATAATAATATCCCAAAAAGCTTTTGCATGAATTAAAGAGATTATATTCCCCTTTATTGTCTGTCTCCCATCAATACACATTTTAAAAAACTTTTCCAAAGATCAAAAAAATGGAGAGAGAGGTCCCCCGTTGATAGTGATGGGTAAAAAAATCGAACCGAACCGTCGAGCAGTTGAACCGAACTGAATCGAACCAAATTTTCGGTTAACCGAGCAAATTCGGTTTCAATACAAATATTGCATATTTGATATTTGCTCGGTTTAGTTCAATTTCGATTTTTGATATTTTTTCGATTCGGTTAACCGAATCGAATATATTTATATATTTGTATTATTATATTTTAAAATATATTAATAATTATATTCGATTCAGTTTCAGCTCGGTTACGGTTCGATTTCAGTTCGAATATTTGAAATATTTTCAAATATTTATAAGTGTACTTAATTTTTGCACTACATTCTAGTGTCACCTCTTTAGGGAGTCTTTTCCATTATGAGGCAAGGTTTTCTTCATTCGTAGTCAAGTTGTTGAGGATATTATAATTGTTGCATTTACTCGGTAATTACTTTTAAATATTTATTCAATTAATAGTTTAAAAGTAATATTTTATATAAATTAAAAATTAATAATTATATATATATTTCAAAACTTTTTTATGTGAAAAATGACCTCTAGATTGAATTCGTGGCTTCATGTCCATCTTGAAATAAATAAATAAATATTATTGTACCGTCACTCAATAATGATTTATTATATTATAAATATTTTTTAATCTTAACGCAGGAGTTGACTATTTTTCTCAAACAGTGACCATACATTGTAACCCATCTTCAATTCATCTATTTTATTTATCCAATTTTAACTCCAAATATGCAGCAGTTGCTATAGTAATTTTATTCCAATTATAATTTCATTTTTCACTATTATTTTTCAAATATTCAATTTTTCCTATCATTTTAAACAACTTTTTATTTTTAACCCAGCGGATTGGAGATGCGCTGATACATTATGAAATTGTTATGCTACCTTCAGCTGCGAAGAAGGAAAACATAATTCACTACATAATACATTTCATTTTTTTTTTTATTTCATATACTTTTATTTTAATTGAAAAAAATTATACAATTTATGCTGTTATTAATTTTATAGATTTTATTTAGTTTTTTTTTAAAAAAATATTTTATTTATTTTATTACACATTTATATGATTATATTTTTCTTAAAAAAATATCGTATGAATACGTATCAAATTTAAACCAAACTTTAAAAATCTTTTCAAAAAACTCATGAAAATTCAAAATAAACATATATCCTTTGAGTTGGTTCAACTATTTTTTTTTAATTTTTTTTATTTATAATATTTCTGATAAAAATAATTATTGCATATAATATATTTTATGCAAATCTATCGATTTGCATGAGACTATTATGCATATCATAATATGCGAATATTGTATTATTATCATTATTATTATTATTATTATTAATGCGCATAAATTTAAATAGCAAATTGAATAGGTGAAAATGACATCTTATTAAAACAAAGGGTAAACTGTTTTTTAAGTCCCGTGTTTAGTCATGTAAATAGAGCCTGTCGCAAACTAGTCTCATAAGTGAAAAATTTTCGCTGTTTTAGTCCTCCGACGTCGGAGACGCCCGTGTGGTTCGCCGGAGATGACGTGTCCGCCAGGTGTCCTGCCAAGTCAGCGACACCTGGTGAACACGTGGATTTATTTTTTTCCATTAAATAAAATTTAAAATAAATTAAAAATAAGTTTTAAAAAAAATTTAAAAAATGAAAAAATACAAAATCCACGTGTCCACCTGGTCAGCGACACCTAGCGGACACGTCACCTCCGGCGAGCCACGCGGGCATCTCCGGCGCCGAGGGACTAAAACAACGAAAAATTTTCACTTATGGGACTAGTTTGCGACAGACTCCACTTACGATATTAAAATGATAAGGGGTCAGTTACGGGACTGAAAAACAGTTTAGCCTAAAACAAATAATAAAAGACTCACCCCAATCACACAATATTCAGTGGTCCACCTGATTCCCACCACACCACAAAACATTTTTGTGTAATTATTTTACAAAATATACATTTTATTATTATTATTATTATTATTATTATTATTATATACCCCTATATATTAATATATATATTATTATTATTATATTTTGTAGAATGTATAAAATAAAATTTAAATAAAAATTTATTTTATAATTATTTTTTAAATAAATGATTTTTACATTAATTTTTAAATTATTTATTTGTATGTTTTAGTGTGTTTATTTAATGATATGATTTTATATTTATTGTGAATTATGTAAAATTAAATATGACAGAGTAATATTTTTGTTTTCTTATTATTTTTATTTTTATATTTATATGTTTAAATTTTTATATTTTATTATATTTTTTTAGTAGTAGTTTTAAAAATTTGTGTATTATATAAACATTGAGTTTGTTTATTTAATTTAAATTTTCTAATTTTTAACTATGCTTTCTCTCTCACAAACATTTCATCAAATATTATTTTAATATCAAATTCAAACCAAAATTTTCCCTAAACCAATCAAAAGAAACAAACCCTTAATAAATTCTTTTGTTTGAAAATTTTCTTTTAAAGACTTTTGATTGTTTATAAAAATATTCTTTAAAAAATATTAAATCAAATATTTTTTTTTTAAATTTTTTTATGTTATACTAAATATGTCACATTAATTTTATATTTATATTTTGATCTTTTAATATATAAAAAATATTTTATTAATACATTTATATTAAAATATATATTATTATTATATAAAAAATATTTTTAAGGATCCAATATTCTAATTTTGTCCCGGGCCTAATAAAGGTCAAGAACGGGTCTGGCTGCACTCCTTGCGACGGAAGATGGTGATGAGGTTGAAGGAGACGGAGAGTAAATTATTGCATCAATATTTTTCATTAAAGAATTATAGTATAAAAATTATATGTTATATAAAAACTATTACATAAACTTAATTTTAATTGAAATTGTTATTAGTGTGTTTTCCAAAAAAACCTAAAAAGACACCCTTAAATTTAGGGGTGTCAATTCGATTTTTCGGTTCGTAATCGTGTTAGGTTGAACTATGAATGTAAAAAAGAACTGTGAATTCAAACCCAAAATTTGATTCAAAACTCTAGATCCGGACGCAAATGTTTTTTTTTTTTTTGCTTTTTCAGGTTCAGATCAACCTAACTTAATTTAATGTCATCCGAAAATCGACGAACCCAAACGACCCCCGACACGAAATAGACATGAAAATCTAATTTAGTATATTGTTTTTTTAGTAACTTAAATTTTTTATATTATTTTATTTTTAATATAATATAAATACATTGAAATGAAAATTATTTCAGGTCAACTCGAAACCCGACCTAATTTATATATTTTGGATGATCAGGTTAACCCGAAATCCAATCCGAATACAAAATATTTTTCGTTTAGAGTTCAAATCGACCTGATTTTTTTGCAAACTCGAACTTGAAAAATTTCAAATCAAACGAGTTAGATTTTTCGGTTCAATTTTCACACCCCTACTTATATTCCTTATGTATTCTATTGTTAACTATAGTTGTATACTCCATTCCTCCTAATATATATTTGCTTTTCTTTTATGTTTGTCCACATAAATATGAATTTTTATTTATAGCCAACGATGGTTACATATTCTTTAATTTATACCCTTTCACATTATATTTATTACCAAAATACGACAACTGCTTACAAATTCAATCTATATACTTCCTCCGTCCCATTGAAATGTTATTATTTTCCATTTTCGTCCGTTCTAAAACAAGGTTACCATTTCCTAATTTAGTAAGTGTACTACCTACCTAACATAATAAATACCCTTCCAACTTACACTATATTACACAAATGCCATTACTGTTATATTACACAATACTAATAGGGGCATTTTTGTCCTTTTTACTACAACCCATTATAATACTAATATTAAAAAATCTACGTGCAAAAAGTAAACGACAACCTTGCACCGGGACGGAGGGAGTATAATATCTTTTGATTTCATTAACTCATTTATATATTTTTCAAAATATTAATATTTTATATTACAATCAACTAATATAATATTATATTATTAAAACCAACGGTTTAATCCAAACAATGGAATGTTTATATACGTTGATACATTATATATCAATTTTCATAATATATTATTAATTGATTTTGTTCTTTCTATATTTCTTCATACACGTTTTTTCATAAAAATTAATACTTCATATTCATTATTTTTATATTTTCTACAAAATTTTATATACCTCATATATATATATAAAAAAATTATTTTCCAATAATCTCACAAAACAAACACAATTTATATTCCAAATTTTTTATTATATATATATATATGTATTTAAATATAATTATACAATATATTGATATGATCCATTTAGGTTGAGTGTCCCACCCACCATAGAAATAATTAGATATTTGGGTAGAAGTCTATAAATCGTTCAAATTGGCAAACATCATTCATTATCAATTTAGCATCATCTTCCTCCTACTAGTGGAGGGAATAGTTAATCTTCAACAATCTTTATTTCATTTTTATTTATCAAATTTATTTATTTATTTTTATAATGTAGCAACTCACAGTCCAACTTAATATACTGCAAACTAGGTAATTTAAAATAATTTGAGGTAATGTATTCGAGGTAATTAACTATAACCGGTGATAAATGAAATAATTTGAATAATGAGATAAATATGATGCAGATGAGAGAGATAAAAAAAGAAATAATGAGGCAAATGTAATGACTATAACGGATGCTCTCACGAGAGATAAAGTGATAATGTCATATTGAAACCACCAAAATATCGTATTATTAGACACTAATTGAAGTTTTTTGCATTTTTTTTCATAATTTGTACTATATTTTGATATAATAATTAATATTCAAATAACAACTCTACGTTAAAAAAAATAAATAAATGAGTAAATGTAAATGTAAACATATATCTTAGTATTGGCTGCTATAATTGATGCTACTACCAATAGCAGAGTAAATCATACTAAATTTCAAATTTTGAACTAAAATAATAATTTGATTTGATGTAAATATATATATTGAAATAATATTTTGAATATAAAATTAAATTTTATTATAATAAAATAAATGAAAAAATATATATTTGATTTAATACAAAAAAACTAAAATAAATCTTACAAACAGACACACCCTTAATATTAATAATTAATTTTAATTTACGAAATAATATACGGACCTTATAGAATAACCATTACAATAATTGCATTAATAAATGACGTACTTAATTAGTTGTTCCGAAACCTACCAAATTTTATTCCCAAATTTTTCTGACAATTAAGTTAAGTGTTTATTTTTCTGATAATTTTCTGTTAATTCAACATCATCTCCGGCAGGTCGATGTCGTGCCCTCACGTCAGCGGCTTGGCGGCGCTGCTGAAACAAGCCCACCCTGAGTGGTCACCGGCGGCGATCAAGTCAGCATTGATGACCATGGCGTACAACGTCGACAACAACGGGAATAATTTGACGGACCTCGCCACCGGGGACGTGTCCAATCCGTTCTCGGGCCACGTCGATCCAAACCGAGCAACGAATCCCGGCCTGATCTACGACATCGATACCCAAAACTACGTCGCATTTTTGTGCAGCATCGGGTACGATGCGCGGCAAATTATGGCATTCACGAAAGATTTGTCGATCTTGGATTGCAACGCAGTCGGGCTGAAAACTCCTGGGGATTTGAACTACCCATCGTTCTTGGTTGCCTTCTCCGGCTTTAAAAGCGTTGTGAAGTATAAACAAAGCGTAAGAAATGTCAAGAAGGAGGCGAATGTCGTGTACGAGGTGACAGTGCACGCAACGGACAATGTGGAAGTGACCGTGACACCGAGTAAATTAGAGTTCGGCGAGAAGGAAGACACTCTATCTGGGTCTACAGATATAATGATAAATCTAATAAATAAATACAATGGTAATGGTAATTGTAATTAGGAAAACATTTGTCTTTCATATTTACAAAGCTTTATTCTATTGGTTCTGTTGGCATGCGGGTGACCCAGGTTGATCTCCAATTCATTGCCACTTAATTTTTAATACGGTTTTCAATTTATATTAAAAAATTTAATATATATAATTTTGTACAAAATATATAATATATAATTTATACACTAAAAAATATAATAGTTTAACATAAAATATTACTCCATCCGTCCCACTTAATTTATCCATTTTTTCTATATCTATCTGTCCTATATAAATTTTCTTTTTTATTTTTTGGAAATATAAGTATACACTTTAATCATATTTTAAAATTAATAATTTATAATTTTTTATTTTAATTAACTATTAAATTATTTTAATCTATAATTATTTTTATTATACCATAATTATTTTTACTGATATATTTCTTAATTACTTACAAATTACATCATAACTAAAACTTCATGCCCCAGTTAAAATGGACAAATTAGTTGGGATGGAAGGGATATATTTTTTTACACTACTTCAAGCTAAAATACAAAATTAATACACCAGTAAAATAAATTTTAAATTATTAATCTATTTAAAATATCATTACTAATATAATAAAATTAATGATTATAAATAAATATATGTAATTGTAGTATTATATTCAAATAAAATATTATATTTTTATAGAAGCAATAAAATATAATTTAAATATAAAAATATATACATATAATATTAAAAACATAAATTATTTTAATCTTTATTAGATTAGATAGGAGGGTAATGTATTTAAAAAAAATATATTTTTTAATTTATTAAATTTTGATTTTGATTTTAATTTTAATATACACATAATATTAAAAAAATATTAATTTTAATATACACATGTGAAATTATATATGGTAAGTTTTATATTAGGTAAGTAGCGGTTAAGCATAATGATTTTGATTTTGATTTTAATTTTAATGTACACATAATATTAAAAAAGAAATTATTTTAATTTTAATATACACATAATATAAAAAAAAAATTATTTTAATTTTAATATACACATAATATTAAAAAAGAAATTATTTTACTTTTAATATACACATGTGAAATTATATATGGTAAGTTTTATATTAGGTAAGTAGCCGTTAACATAATAATTTTTATTTTGATTTTGATTTTAATTTTAATATACACATAATATTAAAAAAAGAAATCATTTTAATTTTAATATACACATGTGAAATTATATATGGTAAGTTTTATATTAGGTAAGTAGCCGTTAACATAATAATTTTTATTTTGATTTTGATTTTAATTTTAATATACACATAATATTAAAAAAAGAAATCATTTTAATTTTAATATACACATGTGAAATTATATATGGTAAGTTTTATATTAGGTAAGTAGCCGTTAAGCATAATGATTTTGATTTTGATTTTAATTTTAATATACACATAATATTAAAAAAAGAAATTATTTTAATTTTAATATACACATGTGAAATTATATATGGTAAATTTATATTAGGTAAGTAGCCGTTAACATAATGATTATGATTTTGATTTTAATTTTAATAAATACATAATATTAAAAAAATTATTTTAATTTTAATATACACATGTGAAATTATATATGGTAAGTTTTATATTAGGTAAGTAGCCGTTAAGTATAATGATTTTAATTTTGATTTTAATTTTAATATACACATGTAAAATTATATATGGTAAGTTTTATATTAGGTAAGTAGCCGTTAAGGCATACATTATAAATATTCTTAATTTTGATTTTGTATACATTATTATAAGTTTTTGGGGTTGCAATGCAAATGCAAATGCAGAAGCAATGGGGTACGAGCAGGGTAGGGGCAGGGCCAGCGGCAGGGGGAATTCCGAGAAGGTGATGAAGAAGGTTTTGTGAAGAGGGGTACGAGCAGGGCCAGCGACAGGGGCAGGGGCAGGGGGAATTCCGAGAAGGGGATGAAGAAGGTTTTGTGAAGAGGGGTAAGAGCAGGGCAGGGGCAGGGCCAGCGACAGGGGCAGGGGCAGGGGGAATTCCGAGAAGGGGATGAAGAAGGTTTTGTAAAGAGGGTTCTGGAGAATTTCGGGGATGCAGCTGACACTTGCAATGGGGTACGAGCAGGGAAGGGGCAGGGGCAGGTGATGGTAATTCTTTGAAAGTAGCTGAGCTGTTGGTGAAACATGGTTTCGAAGAGGCTTATGCTGTCCGGGGAGGGATCAGGGGCAAGAAGGGATGCCAGGTATGGTATGGTTATTTCTATATGTTTATTTTCAAGTCTTGAGTGATGCTCAAGCATCTGAGTGTTGCTGATGTTTTGAGGATTTTTTTTTGTCTTGTGTTAATCATTCAAGAAATTATAGTACGACACTTTTCTTGGAAAATTTTAGAATCCAATCTTGGAACTTTTCCTTGTACCTAATAATGTGTGTTTTGGATTTGACTAGTATTTGGTGCTTCACTTAAGCATGTGATTCGTTAGTTATTCTTGATCGATGATGTTGTGTGCTTATTTTTTAGGAGATACAAGAGACTACCGAACATACTAATATTTATTTTAAATCTTTTTAGATGCATACGAGAGGGAGCGGCCGCATGATCGGACTACCGAACATAATAGGGAGTACTTCTTTCTTTTTCTTTTACATTTATGAAATGCATTTATTTTATCACATTGCATATAGGGTTAGATTTATTTTTACGTCAGTCCCGGGACATGCATGCATTAATTTCTTTTCTATATTTTATACTAACACATTTTTTAGTGTTTTTTAGTTTGTAGGTAAAGCTTATCGGGAGATTGGAGGAAGCGCAAAGATCCGTCGATCTCGATTTCAAACATGGGTAAGTGATTTTAATATTATTTTGTCTTTCCCTTCCTATGCATATACATACTAATATTAATTTAAATCTTTTTAGATGCATACGAGAGGGAGCGGCCGCATGATCGGACTACCGAACATAATAGGGAGTACTTCTTTCTTTTTCTTTTACATTTATGAATTGCATTTATTTTATCACATTGCATATAGGGTTAGATTTATTTTTACGTCAGTCCCGGGACATGCATGCATTAATTTCTTTTCTATATTTTATACTAACACATTTTTTAGTGTTTTTTAGTTTGTAGGTAAAGCTTATCGGGATATTAGAGGAAGCGCAAAGATCCGTCGATCTCGATTTCAAACCGAGGTAAGTGATTTTAATATTATTTTGTCTTTTCCTTCCTATGCATATACATACTAATATTTATTTTAAATCTTTTTAGATGCATACGAGAGGGAGCGGCCGCATGATCGAACTACTGAACAAAATAGGGAGTACTTCTATCTTTTTCTTTTACATTTATGAATTGCATTTATTTTATCACATTGCATATAGGGTTAGATTTATTTTTACGTCAGTCCCGGGACATGCATGCATTAATTTCTTTTCTATATTTTATACTAACACATTTTTTAGTGTTTTTTAGTTTGTAGGTAAAGCTTATCGGGAGATTGGAGGAAGCGCAAAGATCCGTCGATCTCGATTTCAAACCAAGGTAAGTGATTTTAATATTATTTTGTCTTTCCCTTCCTATGCATATACATACTAATATTAATTTAAATCTTTTTAGATGCATACGAGAGGGAGCGGCCGCATGATCGGACTACCGAGCATAATAGGGAGTACTTCTTTCTTTTTCTTTTACATTTATGAATTGCATTTATTTTATCACATTGCATATAGGGTTAGATTTATTTTTACGTCAGTCCCGGGACATGCATGCATTAATTTCTTTTCTATATTTTATACTAACACATTTTTTAGTGTTTTTTAGTTTGTAGGTAAAGCTTATCGGGAGATTGGAGGAAGCGCAAAGATCCGTCGATCTCGATTTCAAACATGGGTAAGTGATTTTAATATTATTTTGTCTTTCCCTTCCTATGCATATACATACTAATATTAATTTAAATCTTTTTAGATGCATACGAGAGGGAGCGGCCGCATGATCGGACTACCGAACATAATAGGGAGTACTTCTTTCTTTTTCTTTTACATTTATGAATTGCATTTATTTGATCACATTGCATATAGGGTTAGATTTATTTTTACGTCAGTCCCGGGACATGCATGCATTAATTTCTTTTCTATATTTTACACTAACACATTTTTTAGTGTTTTTTAGTTTGTAGGTAAAGCTTATCGGGAGATTGGAGGAAGCGCAAAGATCCGTCGATCTCGATTTCAAACCAAGGTAAATGATTTTAATATTATTATGTCTTTCCCTTCCTATGCATATACATACTAATATTTATTTTAAATCTTTTTAGATGCATACGAGAGGGAGCGGCCGCATGATCGGACTACCGAACATAATAGGGAGTACTTCTTTCTTTTTACATTTATGAATTGCATTTATTTTCTCATATTGCATATAGGGTTAGATTTATTTTTACGTCAGTCCCGGGACATGCATGCATTAATTTCTTTTCTATATTTTATACTAACACATTTTTTAGTGTTTTTTAGTTTGTAGGTAAAGCTTATCGGAAGATTAGAGGAAGCGCAAAGATCCGTCGATCACGATTTCAAACCAAGGTAAGTAATCTTAATATTATTTTGTCTTTCCCTTCCTATGCATATACATACTAATATTTATTTTAAATCTTTTTAGATGCATACGAGAGGGAGCGGCCGCATGATCGGACTACCGAACATAATAGGGAGTACTTCTTTCTTTTTACATTTATGAATTGCATTTATTTTATCATATTGCATATAGGGTTAGATTTATTTTTACGTCAGTCCCGGGACATGCATGCATTAATTTCTTTACTATATTTTATACTAACACATTTTTTAGTGTTTTTTAGTTTGTAGGTAAAGCTTATCGGGAGATTAGAGGAAGCGCAAAGATCCGTCGATCACGATTTCAAACCAAGGTAAGTAATCTTAATATTATTTTGTCTTTCCCTTCCTATGCATATACATACTAATATTTATTTTAAATCTTTTTAGATGCATACGAGAGGGAGCGGCCGCATTATCGGACTACCGAACATAATAGGGAGTACTTCTTTCTTTTTCTTTTACATTTATGAATTGCATTTATTTTATCCCATTGCATATAGGGTTAGATTTATTTTTACGTCAGTCCCGGGACATGCATACATTAATTTCTTTTCTATATTTTATACTAACACATTTTTTAGTATTTTTTAGTTTGTAGGTAAAGTTTATCGGGAGATTGGAGGAAGCGCAAAGATCCGTCGATCTCGATTTCAAACCAAGGTAAGTGATTTTAATATTATTTTGTCATTCCCTTCCTATGCATATACATACTAATATTTATTTAAATCTTTTTAGATGCATACGAGAGGGAGCGGCCGCATGATCGGACTACCGAGCATAATAGGGAGTACTTCTTTCTTTTACATTTATAAATTGCATTTATTTTATCACATTGCATATAGGGTTAGATTTATTTTTACGTCAGTCCCGGGACATGCATGCATTAATTTCTTTTCTATATTTTATACTAACACATTTTTTAGTGTTTTTTAGTTTGTAGGTAAAGCTTATCGGGAGATTGGAGGAAGCGCAAAGATCCGTCGATCTCGATTTCAAACATGGGTAAGTGATTTTAATATTATTTTGTCTTTCCCTTCCTATGCATATACATACTAATATTAATTTAAATCTTTTTAGATGCATACGAGAGGGAGCGGCCGCATGATCGGACTACCGAACATAATAGGGAGTACTTCTTTCTTTTTCTTTTACATTTATGAATTGCATTTATTTTATCACATTGCATATAGGGTTAGATTTATTTTTACGTCAGTCCCGGGACATGCATGCATTAATTTCTTTTCTATATTTTATACTAACACATTTTTTAGTGTTTTTTAGTTTGTAGGTAAAGCTTATCGGGAGATTGGAGGAAGCGCAAAGATCCGTCGATCCCGATTTCAAACCAAGGTAAGTGATTTTAATATTATTTTGTCTTTCCCTTCCTATGGATATACATACTAATATTTATTTAAATCTTTTTAGATGCATACGAGAGGGAGCGGCCGCATGATCGGACTACATAACATAATAGGGAGTACTTCTTTCTTTTTCTTTTACATTTATGAATTGCATTTATTTTATCACATTGCATATAGGGTTAGAATTATTTTTACGTCAGTCCCGGGACATGCATGCATTAATTTCTTTTCTATATTTTATACTAACACATTTTTTAGTGTTTTTTAGTTTGTAGGTAAAGCTTACCGGGAGATTAGAGGAAGCGCAAAGATCCGTCGATCTCGATTTCAAACCAAGGTAAGTGATTTCAATATTATTTTGTCTTTCCCTTCCTATGCATATACATACTAATATTTATTTTAAATCTTTTTAGATGCATACGAGAGGGAGCGGCCGCATGATCGGACTACCGAACATAATAGGGAGTACTTCTTTCTTTTTACATTTATGAATTGCATTTATTTTATCATATTGCATATAGGGTTAGATTTATTTTTACGTCAGTCCCGGGACATGCATGCATTAATTTCTTTTCTATATTTTATACTAACACATTTTTTAGTGTTTTTTAGTTTGTAGGTAAAGCTTATCGGGAGATTAGAGGAGCGCAAAGATCCGTCGATCACGATTTCAAACCAAGGTAAGTCATTTTCATATTATTTTGTCTTTCCCTTCCTATGCATATACATACTAATATTTATTTTAAATCTTTTTAGATGCATACGAGAGGGAGCGGCCGCATTATCGGACTACCGAACATAATAGGGAGTACTTCTTTCTTTTTCTTTTACATTTATGAATTGCATTTATTTTATCACATTGCATATAGGGTTAGATTTATTTTTACGTCAGTCCCGGGACATGCATACATTAATTTCTTTTCTATA